GTGGCCCTTATTTCTCATGCCAGTAAGGTAATGCTCAAGATCCTGCAAGGAAGACTCCAGCAATACATGGAGCGAGAGTTGCCAGATGTTCAAGCTGGGTTTAGAAAAGGTAGAGGAACAAGAGACCAAATTGCCAATATCCGCTGGATAATGGAGAAAGGCAGGGAGTTTCAGAAAAACATCATTGACTATTCTAAAGCCTTTGACTGTGTGGATCATAATAAATTGTGGCAAGTTCTTGGTGGGATGGGCATCCCAAGCCCCCTTCCCTCTCTCCTGAGGAATCTGTACAAGGACCAAGTAGCAACAGTAAGAACTGACCATGGAACAACAGACTGGTTCAAGATTGGGAAAGGCGTACGGCAAGGCTGCATCCTCTCACCCAACCTTTTTAACTTGTATGCAGAACACATCATGCGATGTGCGGGGCTGGATGAATGCAAAGCTGGGTGGAAAATTGCTGGAAGAAACATTAACAACCTCAGATATGCAGATGACACCACTCTGATGGCCGAAAGCGAGGAGGAGCTGAGGAGCCTTCTAATCAAGGTGAAAGAAGAAAGCGCAAAAGCCGGGTTGCAGCTAAACGTCAAAAAAACCAAGATTATGGCAACAAGAATGATTGACAACGGGAAAATAGAGGGAGAAACCGTGGAGGCCGTGACAGACTTTGTATTTCTAGGTGCAAAGATTACTGCAGATGCAGACTGTAGCCAGGAAATCAGAAGACGCTTACTTCTTGGGAGGAGAGCAATGTCCAAACTCGATAAAATAGTAAAGAGTAGAGACATCAGACTGGCAACAAAGATCCGCCTAGTCAAAGCCATGGTATTCCCTGTAGTAACCTACGGATGTGAGAGCTGGACCTTAGGGAAGGCTGAGCGAAGGAAGAGAGATGCTTTTGAGCTGTGGTGCTGAGAGTGCCTTGGACTGCGAGAAGATCCAACCAGTCCATCCTCCAGGAAATAAAGCCCGACTGCTCATTGGAGGGAAAGATACTAGAGACAAAGTTGAAGTACTTTGGCCACTTCATGAGGAGACAGGAAAGCCTAGAGAAGACAATTATGCTGGGGAAAGTGGAAGGCAAAAGGAAGAGGGGCCGACCAAGGGCAAGATGGATGGATGGCATCCTTGAAGTGACTGGACTGACCTTGAGGGAGCTGGGGGTGGTAACGGCCGACAGGGAGCTCTGGCGTGGGCTGGTCCATGAGGTCACGAAGAGTCGGAGACGACTGAACGAATGAACAACAACAAGCATTGCAGCTTCTCCATATGCTCAGAAAAAAACCAAAACAGGCTCTTTATTTACAAACATTTAAAAACTAATTTACAAATCCGATGTAGAAATTTCCAAAGAATGAGACAGTTATTGGAACACTGTGGGCTGGATTAGAAACATTATCAAATTGCCAGCAATGAATCTTAATGTTTCATAAGGGACAAATGAGAATCACAGCATGCATCTATACTGTAGAATTAACGCAATTTGACTCCACTTTAACTGCCCTGGCTCAATGCTATGGTTGGTGAGGCAGGGAATTCTCAAGACACTGTAAAAATACACCTTTCATGATCCCATAGCACTGGGCCAGGGCAGTTCAAGCAATGTCTAATTTTAGATTCAGTAATGCAAATAGGGACTTGTATTATCACAACTTGTAAATCTTGAAACATGGTTCTCATGCTCCCTCTCAACCTTCCCTTCTCCAGGAGGAAAGGAGGAAGGAAAAAGGGAACGAAGGAAGGAAGGGAAAGAGAAGGATGGAAGGAAGGATGGAAGAGAATGGAGGGAGGGAAGAAAGAGAGAAGGGAAGACAAAAGGAAGGGAAGGAAGGAAGGAGAAAGAGAGAAGGAAAGAGGGAAGGAAGGGGAAAGAGAAAGAAGGAGGGAGGAGAAAGAGAGAGGTAAGGAAGGAAATGAAGAAGGAAAGAAAGAGAAGGAAAGACAAAAGGGAAGGAAGGAAGGAAGGACAAAAGGAAAGAAAGAAGGAAAGACAAAAGGGAGGGAAGGAAGGAAGCAAGGATGAAAAGGAAGGAAGGAGGGAGAAAGAGGAGAGAGCAAAGAGGGAAGGAAGGGTGAAAGAGAAGGAAGGAGGAAGGGAGAGGGAGGTAAGGAAGGAAAGGAAGAAGGAAAGACAAAAGGGGGGGAAGGAAGGAGGGAGGGAGAAAGAGGGAGAGAAGGAGAGAGGAAAGAGGGAAGGAAGGGTGAAAGAGAAGGAAGGAGGAAGGGAGAGGGAGGTAAGGAAGGAAAGGAAGAAGGAAAGACAAAAGGGAGGGAAGGAAGGAAGCAAGGATGAAAGGGTGGAAGGGAAGGAAGGAGGAGAAAGAGGGAGAGGAAAGAGGGAAGTGTGAAAGGGAAGGAAGAAGGGATGGAGAAAGAGAGAGGTAAGGAAGGAAAGGAAGAAGGAAAGAGAAAGAGGAGGGGAGGAAGGAAGCAAGGACGAAAGGGTGGAAGGGAAGGAAGGAGGGAGAAAAAGGGAGAGAGAGAAGGAGAGAGGAAAGAGGGAGGGAAGGATGAAAGAGAAGGAAGGAGGAAGGGAGAGGGAGGAAAGGAAGGAGGAAAGACAAAAGGGAGGGAAGGAAGGAAGAAGAGGAAAGGGAAGGAAGGAGGGAGAAAGAGGGAGAGAGAAGGAGAGAGGAGAGAGGGAGGGAAGGATGAAATGGTGGAAGGGAATACTCTCACCCCAGAGTATTGAAGGAACTAGCGGAAGTCATTTCGGAACCATTGGCAACCATCTTTGAGAGTTCTTGGAGAACGGGAGAAGTTCCAGCAGATTGGAGGAGGGCCAATGTGGTCCCAATCTTCAAGAAGGGAAAAAAGGATGACCCAAACAACTACCGTCCAGTCAGCCTCACGTCGATACCGGGCAAGATTCTGGAAAAGATTGTTAAGGAAGCGGTCTGCAAACACTTAGAAACAAATGCAGTCATCGCTAATAGTCAACATGGATTTATCAAAAACAAGTCATGCCAGACTAATCTGATCTCTTTCTTCGATAGAGCTACAAGCTGGGTAGATGCGGGGAATGCCGTGGATGTAGCGTACCTGGATTTCAGTAAGGCCTTCGACAAGGTCCCCCATGACCTTCTGGCAAGGAAACTAGTCCAATGTGGGCTAGGCAAAACTACGGTGAGGTGGATCTGTAATTGGTTAAGTGGACGAACACAGAGAGTGCTCACTAATGCTTCCTCTTCATCTTGGAAAGAAGTGACAAGTGGAGTGCCTCAGGGTTCCGTCCTGGGCCCGGTCCTGTTCAACATCTTTATTAATGACTTAGATGAAGGGCTAGAAGGCATGATCATCAAGTTTGCAGATGACACCAAATTGGGAGGGATAGCCAATAGTCCAGAGGACAGGAGCAGAATTCAAAACGATCTTGACAGATTAGAGAGATGGGCCAATACTAACAAAATGAAGTTCAACAGTGACAAATGCAAGATACTCCACTTTGGCAGAAAAAATGAAATGCAAAGATACAGAATGGGGACGCCTGGCTCGAGAGCAGTACGTGTGAAAAAGATCTTGGAGTCCTCATGGATAACAAGTTAAACATGAGCCAATAATGTGATGTGGCGGCTAAAAAAGCCAATGGATTTTGGCTTGCATCAATAGGAGCATAGTGTCTAGATCTAGGGAAGTAATGCTATCCCTCTATTCCGCTTTGCTTAGACCACACCTGGAATATTGTGTCCAATTCTGGGCACCACAATTCAAGAGAGATATTGACAAGCTGGAATGTGTCCAGAGGAGGGCGACTAAAATGATCAAGGGTCTGGAGAACAAGCCTTATGAGGAGCGGCTTAGGGAACTGGGCATGTTTAGCCTGAAGAAGAGAAGGCTGAGAGGATATATGATAGCCATGTATAAATATGTGAGAGGAAGCCACAGGGAGGAGGGAGCAAGCTTGTTTTCTGCTTCCTTGGAGACTAGGACGCGGAACAATGGCTTCAAACTACAAGAGAGGAGATTCCATCTGAACATGAGGAAGAACTTCCTGACTGTGAGAGCTGTTCAGCAGTGGAACTCTGCCCCGGAGTGTGGTGGAGGCTCCTTCTTTGGAAGCTTTTAAACAGAGGCTGGATGGCCATCTGTCAGGGGTGATTTGAATGCAATATTCCTGCTTCTTGGCAGGGGGTTGGACTGGATGGCCCATGAGGTCTCTTCCAACTCTTTGATTCTTTGATTCTAAGGAAGGAGGGAGAAAGAGAGAGAAGGAGAGAGGAGAGAGGGAGGGAAGGATGAAAGAGAAGGAAGGAGGAAGGGAGAGGGAGGAAAGACAAAAGGGAGGGAAGGAAGGAAGCAAGGACGAAAGGGTGGAAGGGAAGGAAGGAGGGAGAAAGAGGGAGAGAGAAGGAGAGAGAAAAGAGGGAGGGAAGGATGAACGAGAAGGAAGGAGGAAGGGAGAGGGAGGAAAGGAAGGAGTAAAGACAAAAGGGAGGGAAGGAAGGAAGCAAGGATGAAATGGTGGAAGGGAAGGAAGGAGGGAGAAAGAAAGAGGGAGGTAAGGAAGGAAGGAAAGGAAGAAGGAAAGACAAAAGGGAGGGAAGGAAGGAAGGAAGGATGAAAGGGTGGAAGGGAGGGAAGGGGGGAGAAAGAGGGAAGGGAGAGAAGGAAAGAGAGAAGGGAGGATAGGATGTGTGAGAAAAGTGCCCAAGGTTTGCCCTGCCCTCTATAGGTGCATCTACATGTACAAACTTTGGCCCTCCAGGTGTTTTAGACTCCAACTCCCTACTGCCTGTTAGGAATGGTGGGAGTCGAAATCCAAAACACCAGGAGGGCCGAAGCTTGCCCATGCCTGGTCTACACTATTGAGTTAATGCAGTTTGGCAGCACTAGAACTGCCATCTATGGAGTGATGTTGCTTGGTGAGGCAGAGAAGGCCCAAGGCGGGGTAAGACTCTCACTTCTTTCTCCCAGCGCAGCAGGCGAACCCTCCCTCACTTCCCACTCCGCAGCAACACACAGGATGAGAAGGACAAGCCCCACTCTGAGAACTACAATCCCCACAATCCCTTTCGCCGGCGCGCATGCTCGCATCCTCCCATGGATCCAAGATGGCCGACACAGGGACCGGTGGATCTGGTAGCAGCTCGGGCACGGTAAGGGCGGGGCTCTGAGGGCGCGACTCTCTCTCCTTTCCCTTTTTGTTTTCTGGGTCGAAGGGGGCTTCTTCGTGGGCCAGGGCCTCTGCCTTGGGCCCTCAACACGAGGCGTAGAGGCCCAAGAGCGAAAGGCAGGGCCTGCTTCGGATTGGAGAATCAGGGGAGGCGGGCGGGTCTTGATTGGTCGAGCTCCGTTGGCCGTGGTTGGCTAGGGCAGGTGCCAATCATCTTCGGACCCTTCTGGGCCCATGTGGGTGGCCCAGAATGGTCGCAGGTTGACACCACTGTCACTACCATAGCTCCATCCTATGGAAAAGTGAGAGTTGTAGTTGATTGTGGCACCAGACTCTCTCACACGGGAAATGTCTCGCAAAACTACAAATCTCAGAATGTCATAACATTCATCCATAGCAATGTATTGTCATAGAATCATAGAGTTGGAAGAGACCTCGTGGGCCATCCAGTCCAACCCCCTGCCAAGAAGCAGGAAAATTGCATTCAAAGCACCCCCGACAGATGGCCATCCAGCCTCTGTTTAAAAGCTTCCAAAGAAGGAGCCTCCACCACACTCCGGGGCAGAGAGTTCCACTGCTGAACAGCTCTCACAGTCAGGAAGTTCTTCCTAATGTTCAGAGGGAATCTCCTTTCTTGTAGTTTGAAGCCATTGTTCCGCGTCCTAGTCTCCAGGGCAGCAGAAAACAAGCTTGCTCCCTCCTCCCTGTGACTTCCTCTCACATATTTATACATGGCCATCATGTCTCCTCTCTGCCTTCTCTTCTGGAGACAAAACATGCCCAGCTCTTTAAGCCGCTCCTCATAGGACTTGTTCTCCAGACCCTTGATAATTTTAGTCCAGACCCTTGATCATTTTGTTGAAGGCTTTCATGGCTGGAATCACTGGGTTGTTGTAGGTTTTTCGGGCTATATGGCCATATTCTAGAAGCATTCTCTCCTGACATTTCGCCTGCATCTATGGCAGGCATCCTCAGAGGTTTGAGACCTCACAACCTCTGAGGATGCCTGCCACAGATGCAGGGGAAACGTCAGTAGAGAAGGCTCCTAGAACATGGCCATACAGCCCGAAAAACCTACAACAACCTAGTTCCTCTGTGGCAGTTAATGTGGTTTCAAACTGCTATATTTCTGCAGTGTGCACCAATCCCTGCTTGGGCTGGAAGTATATATTTGCCGCTCTGTACTTTGAGATTAGACTTACATCTCAATGTAACATCCATTTAAGTTTCATCTTATACACATAGCTTGAAGGCAACCACCAACAAAATTGAAGAAATTATATTTTAAATTAAAAAGCTGTTTTTATAATATAGTGAAACAGAAAAAAAAAACCAGGTTATTTTGCATTAAGTTTATCTTTGTTTGCTTTTAATTGTTGTATTTCAGTCTTAATATCAAGTCAGTACAAAATTTATGGTATAGTATGATTAAGCGTACTTTTCAGAGTAATTCTCACGCAAGCAGAATCTACATTTATCTGTTAGTCCCCTTGGCTGCTGGTTAACAGAGGCCCCATCTACACTGCCATATATAATCCAGTTTGAACTGCATCATAATGGTCAGTGTAGACTGTTAGGAGTTGTGAGAGTTGGAAGTCCAAAACACCTGGAGAGCCAGAGTTTGCCCATGGCTGATGTAGACTCGTATAATGCAATGCAAATTGAACCACATTGAACTGGATTATATGAGTCTACACTGCATTTAATCCAGTTCAATTTGCATTCTGAAACTGGGTTATATGTAGATGGGACCTGAGAGTGTACTGAATATTCATAGTTCTATAATTGTGCAGTATGAAAGGACCCTCAGGCCGATAGTAGCTCAAGTTCACAATATCTGGAGAGCACTAAGGCTGCATCTACACTGTAGAGTTAATTCAGTTTGACACCACTTTAGCTGCTATGGCTCAATGTTACGGAATGGTGGGGTCATTAGGTTTGTGTCCATCCTTCATCCATTGCCTGCTTTTTCTTGGTTGATTTTGCCCCAACAGCGCTCAGGTGGCAAACACTCTACGACTCCTGCAGATAACTATTATTTGGCTCGAAGGCGGACCCTGCAGGTGGTGGTCAGCTCTCTCTTGACAGAGGCTGGGTTTGAGAGCGCAGAGAAGGCCGCTGTGGAAACCATGACGGAGATGCTCCAGAGCTGTGAGTAGCCCCCAAATGATGGCTTACATTAGAAAGACAGTGCCATTTCCCTAGTTTAAAATCACCAGTCTTTTAGATATCAATAACAGATATTTTGAATTTACATTCATCATCGCTTCTTTAGTCAACTAGCTTGTCTATTCATCATTTGGTATCCCAAATGACAATAGTTGAGTTGCCATTATGTATGTGGGTTTGGGATACCTTTCTTTTGAGTTTCTTTTAAACGTGTTTGTATGTGTTTTGCTAGTGGTGTGCTTTGTATGTTTTTGAATTTATTTATTTTCGGATGTATATGTGATGGCTTTAGTAGATATACAGCGCTTTTGTTATAATGCATGTGCATAATTTTTTTGTGTGTGGTATGTGTAGCTTGTACATTTACTCCTCTTGCCTATCTATGAAATGGGCATCTTGTTCTGTTTTGTGATTTAAATGTACAATTTGGCCTTTGGATCTCCCATGCCTGTCTTGCATTTAGGGAGGACTTTGGAAAGGATTTTTGGGGGGAGTGTGAGAAAATGAAGGATATATATTTCAAATCTCAGTTCTGTGGTGATCTTTGTTTTAACAGATATATCAGAAATAGGAAGGAGCGCCAAGTCTGTCTGTGAACATACGGCAAGGACTCAGCCAACCCTTTCTGATATTGTCGTCACCTTAGTTGAAATGGGTGAGTGTCTTTATTTTACATGGGTGTAACGCTGGGAAGTCAGGTAGAAATGGGATTATATACAGATGCCAAAAGACTGGATATTATTGCTTTTAATTCTTCCTCTTTTTGTGTGTTTCAGGTTTCAATGTAGAAACGCTCCCTGCGTATGCCAAACGGTCCCAGAGGATGGTGATCACTGCGCGTACGTGAGATTTGGTCTAGTGAAGGGGTGGGCAACTATGGTGAGATTGTCCCTAGGACTGCCAACCTCCCCCCACAAAACAATAACAGAAACCCACATAATGACAAATGACTTCTTCCAAAACCCAGACGTCATCAGATTTGAATGTTATGCAATGTAGTCCCCCACAACTTGATTAAAACTTGACCTGCCTCCCCTGGAAGCATTTTATTCTTTCCAAGAGCTCTTGAAGAAGGTAATTAGGTGAATCCGAAAGGGCTGAGGCTTTCAAGGACAGCCTTGATGGTAGCATGCAGCCCAACAGCCACACTTTGCTCACCCCAGTTTTGTTGTCTTTCTAATGCATCACAAATTTGTCCAAGGGGGAAATATTTCTATAGCCTCCAATTAAACCCTGTAAGATGCTTTCTGATTTAGGATGGATTTACACTGCCAAATAATGCCGTTTGAGCTTCATTATGTGGTCAGTGTAGACCTGGCATGGGCAAACTTTGGAACACCTGGGGGGCCAAATTTTGCCCATACTTCTATTAGACCCATAGAATGCAGTTTGAACATTCTAAGTGCTGGCTTTAACCTATAAAGTCCTAAACGGTTCTGGGCCAGCTTACCTGTCTGAACGCATCTCCCTCTATGAACCATCTAGAAGGTTAAGATCTTCTGGGGAGGCCGTGCTCTTGGTTCCGCCTCCTTTGCAGGGGCAACTGGTGGGAATGAGAGACAGGGCCTTCTCAGTGATGGCCCCTTGGCTATGGAATTCCCTCCTGAGTGAAATTTGATCAGCCCCCTCCCTCCCAGCTTTTAGGAAAAGGCTAAACATGTGGATGTGCGACCAAGCATTCCGTGAATAATTATCAGTGCAGTAAGAAAATCTGGAATAGTGCAATAACAAATTGGAACAGCCAGACTATGATATTGGATTGTATTATTTTGAATAAGTGGCTTTAAGGCTTTATATATTTTTAATTATTGTTTTAATGTATATGTTCTTATTATATGTGTTTTTGGCATCAAATTGCAGCCTATATATATGTAAGCCTCCTTGAGTCCCCTAAAAGGTTGAGAAAGGCAAGGTATAAATATGGTAAATAAATAAACTGCATTGGGCTGCATTATATGAATCTGTACTGACTGTAGATCCAGCCTTAGTCCAGGTAGGATACAATTCAGTAGTCCGTTGCACAGTCAGCCAGACCACCTATCTCAGTAAGCCAGTGAGAAATTGAGCCATTCATATTCTAACGTGTACTATAGTATCAGTTAACAACCAAAAAGTTCAGAGTGTATAATCATTCGCTGCCACCAGAGAGAGCAAAGAGAACATGGGATGCAAGGCTGCTGCCAAAAACAGTGTATCAGTCTCAGGTCCTACGCTAGCTTTTTCCTTGGAAAGTAACAGTTTCATTTAACAATAAATCCATTGTTCAATGTATTGTCGAAGGCTTTCATGCCTGGACTCACTGGGTTGTTGTAGTTTTTTCAGGCTATATGGCCATGTTCTAGAGGCATTTTCTCCTGACGTTTTGCCTCCATCTATGGCAAGCATCCTCAGAGGTAGTGAGATCTATTGGAACTAGGAAAGTGGGTTTATATATCTGTGGAATGATCGGGGTGGGACAAAGAACTCTTGTCTGTTGGAGCTAGGTGTGAATGTTTCAACTGACCACCTTGATTAGCATGTGATGGCCTGGCAGTGCCTGGGGCAATCTTTTGTTGAGAGTTGATTAGATGTGCCTGATTGTTTCCCCTCTGTTGTTTTGCTGTTGTAATTTTAAAGTTTTTTTTTAAAATACTGGTAGCCAGATTTTGTTCATTTTCATGGTTTCCTCCTTTCTGTTGAAATTGTCCACATGCTTGTGGATTTCAATGGCTTCTCTGTGTAGTCTGACATGGTGGTTGTTAGAGTGGTCCAGCATTTCTGTGTTCTCAAATAATATGTTGTGTCCAGGTTGAACTGGAAATCCATTGTTTTCCAGTTCCTTACCCCTGTTTCCTATTATTAGCTGAATCTGAAGAGAATGCGCATGATGACTGGGAATGGTGACCTTGTGTATTATATCAATGAGGGAGAGAAATCAACATGGAAAGATTGTTTTTGTATCATAATTGTATATCTTATCATATTTCATGAGGTTTTCTCTTGATATTACAGCACTAATCAGTGAGGACATGTTTCCATAGATGCTTATTTTACATCATCCTGGCTACAGGCAACCTGTCTTCATTCGCTTTGCTTAAATACGTTCACTATAAAGTAGACCCTCCACTTTTGCTGGAATTAAGGGCCCAGGTCCCTCGCGACAGTGGAGAAAATATTAATTAAAAACCCCCACTATTTTTAGGGCAACTCATTAGTCAACTTTTGGTGGAGGTTTTGGTGGAGGGTAAAGTTACCCTGGAGGACCTAGAAATTCTTGGAGATAACATATTAGTCAAATCTTCTAATACTTAATCCACACAAATTAAACCCACAAATGTGGAGGGTTGCATATATGTTGAATTGACCAGAGCCACTGGTTTGTTCCTCTGATAAATTGGACTGATACCTGTGTGGCAGAGAGTGCATTGACTGAATTTCTGTTTCTGATTGCAGCCCCGGTGACAAATCAGCCTGTGACTCCCAAAGCCCTGACGGCTGGCCAGAACAAACCTCATCCATCCCATATACCCGGCCATTTCCCGGAATTCCCAGATCCTCATACTTACATCAAAACACCAGTAAGTAGGCTTTCCTTGCATCAAAACTATCGTGTCCTCTCACTGTGGAACAGTGATTGGCTGGGATTTGAACCATAGCATTGTATGGTGAGTTATTTGTGAACTATTAGTATGATCTTAGTGGTTGGATCCCACTGGGGGTTCCTTTTAAGGCATTTGGGAAATATGCTTGGAATAAGACGATTTATGGATTTGACCTTAGCTTCATGCCCATGGCTTGCTGGGGTGCTTTCCTGAATCTGAAGAATCTCAATTTGATATCCATGTACAATGATGGCTGCTTCCCTCCCCTTACTTTACAGACGTACCGGGAACCTGTATTGGATTACCAGATCCTTCGAGAGAAAGCTGCTTCCCAAAGACGAGACGTTGAAAGGGCTTTGACCCGCTTCATGGCAAAGACCGGAGAGACACAGAGCCTTTTCAAGGATGATGTCAGCACCTTTCCTTGTAAGGGTTGCCTGCATTGTAGTTAGTCAGGTGGCAGAGTTCATTAGTTCACGATAGACGCAATGTACTTCAATCCCAAACGGGTCTGCCACATATTTGCCATTAACCATGATATTTTCACTGGCCAAGACATATTTTTGTGCCTCAAATGTTAGCCCTGTTTCTGAGTATATTTGACCTGCTGATTCCACAAATGGCACCAATTTTCCTCTATCAGCTCTAGTTTTTGAGATACAGAACATATGCCATCTTCCAGTCGCCATCTGCTTGTCCATAAGAAATCATGATAACCATATCTAAGAAAGTAGAGTTTATGGAGGCTATCCAATGCTATTTTCTGAATCAGCACTCCAAATAATCTCAGGAACAGTCATAAAAACCAAAATACCAAGATGTTTTTTGTTGGACTGTGTTATTAGTGGGGATAGAGTAAACAACAGTAGTTTCATTAGTATTTAATATTAGGAGTATTAATTCATACTCTCCTTTCCCCAAGGATGGCACTCAAGGTGGGTTACGAATTTAAATGATTAAATGATAGTTAAAACATATAGAAAGCTAACGCTAAAATAGAAGCAAACTATTGAAATAGTATAACTATTTTGAAAGGATAAAATGGATAAGAACACTACAGTTTTAAACACATTACTGCATGTGGGAGATAGATGCAGGATACAAATAAAGTTTATTATTATTATTATTATTATTATTATTATTATTATATGCACAGCAATTCTTTTGAGGTAGACTAAGTAAAATGACCAACCCCCATGAATTCTGTTGACTAAACAGTGCTACATTAGTTTAGTCAATACTTTGCTTTTTCCACTGCCTCTATGTTTTTTCAAGTTCTACATCAGTTGAGTCCCTGAGCTGCTTGAATCATGGAACTGTATATTGCCATAAGATTTGATCTTTAAATATAACCTGTGGGTACCAGTTGACTTATGGAGAGTTGTGGTAAACCTTTTTTGTGTCTCGAAGGCAGCAGAATAAAATAATCTTAAATAATGTAGAACTTTCTTTCATAGTTGGTTTCTTCTTATGCTCTCGCGTGCACATTGGAAGGATGAATCTTTGCACCTGAAATCATGACTTCTTTTCCCCTTTCTCCAGTGATAGCCGCCAGGCCTTTTTCAATACCTTACCTGACAGCTTTGCTGCCTTCTGAGTTAGAGATGCAGCAGATGGAGGAGACAGATTCATCAGAGCAAGATGATCAGACTGACACCGAGAACCTCCCTCTGCACGTGAGCATGGTAGAGCCATAGGAAACCTGTTTGATTTAGTGTGGCGTTGGGTCTTGTGTCCTTAGAGTTCCTTAATACACCCCTTTGAAGTGTAAATGAAGGTTTGTGATTGAGAGATGTTGGGCTGATGTTTGTTTACATACTGTTGGCAGAAGACGTTTGGTATTTTTATGGAAACTTTGGACAGGACTGTCAGGGAACAAGATGGTTTCCTCCTACAAAATATATACCTGCCCCATTTTTGCAAAGAATTTGCACCCCCAAAAGGTGTAAAAACCTTATAAACAGGTGTGTATGAATGAAGGGGCAGGGAAAGGGTGATCATATTCTTCATTACTGAGATAAGTAGGCCATGTTTTCTCACCTTGACCCCGTGATAACTCCTTGGTGTCAAATGTGGTTGGGGTATGTATTCCATACATGTTCTTCCTTGATTTGGGGCCTGCAGCATTTGTGGGTAATTAAACACCCAGTAAGAATGGAAGCATTGCTCTGGTTGCCTTGAGAATGCAGACCTCCTCTCCTCCTGCCATTCATTATAGGAACAGTGGGCTTTGTTTACTCTCAGCAGCAATGTCCTATAATTGAATCTCCTTGACTGAGTGGCACAGTGGTATCACCACATTATCCACATCAAAGGTGGGGAATTTTTTGATAATTCAGATTTAGCTGTGTTGGCTCCCTATCTGGAGGGTTGTACTAAAAATCTCAGAATCCTTTTTAGGTTCTGAATAGATGTGGAATTAATAGATCAAAATAGGTGTGGAATCAATGGGATCAAGGGAACAGTGACCGCAAAGAAACCCCAAATATATGAAAACTTGCAAGTTGTATTATCTTTTGTGTGTTCTCTCTTGCCCCCCACAAACAACTGTCACAGCCGATCTCCCAACCACATTGAAAATCACATTTCATCAAAATTAGACCCAAAATTAGACAGTGTGTTCTGCTTACCAGCAGGGGGCACCTAACTTGAGATTTGCCTCTTTTGTTTGCTGCTCTGTCTCAGTTGTCTTGTCTCTTGAAATTTCTTGTGTGTGATGGTGGTTATGATATTCCACTGAAATTCATTTTTTGTTTTACTTGCCAGGATGACTCGGGAGCCGAGAAGGAGAATGCGTCAGTCTTGCAGCACAACACCTCCCTTTCTGGCAGCCGAAATGGAGAGGAGAACTTGATAGACAATCCCTACCTGCGTCCAGTGAAGAAACCCAAGATCCGCAGGAAGAAGTGATTTGCAGCAAATTGTTTGGTTGAGTCAGAGGAAGACTTTGGTCTTTTCGGAGACCCTATGTTATTGAAATATGGCATAGGAAAAGCTGGAAGGTACTGCTGGTTGAGGGCCTGGTGGAATCTCCAGTTTTGTCTTCTCCCCAACAGTTTGTGATAACTGGAGAAGAAGGCTAAAACATTGAACTAAAGCAAGTGAAGATCATGCCAAATGAACTCTTCATCTTTCTGCTCCAGAGAAGGCTGCATGGAAATTTGGAGTATTGGCAACATGTCTTCTGATTGAGGACTTCAGGCAAAAAGACAAACATTTCCACTTACATTTTGCCAGTTCTTCTGGAACATCACAAGAATCAACCCTTCTTTCTTATTTTTTGTAATTGTGTTGAGTGACAGGCCAAAGCATTGTGTAACTCGAGTTGTTGGATGAGAAGCGATTGATGTTGCCATCCAGAGATCTTCTGTGGTGCCTTTTCAAAACTGAAACATTTCAGAACTACTCAGTTCAGACATCTTCAAAGCCTTTTGTGTTTGGAGTTGAGTTTTGGTCAGATTTTTAGCTCTGATATATGAGATGTTAGGCCAGTTGAGGGAAAAATCAGTAATAACATCTAATTCAGAAGATACAGATCTACCAAATACAGGTTTTGAAAGCTAATTCCACAAGATGCCCAGTTCTTTAAGTGCATTTGCAGTTCAGTATGTTGACCGTGGCTCTTTTGTCTTTATTTGGGTAAGAGAACTTTATTTTGAATCTTTCCATTGCACTGTATGGCTCACAGTTTTAGACTTCCGTTCTCCATAACTTTATAGCAGCAATATTTCTATCTGCCTTTGGCCCCAAATTTTATTTTGAAGAGCACCAGTCCCATCACTAGTTTGAAGCAGAACAAAACATCCTGCAAAGCTAAACTTGAACTGTGTTTCCTGGGTTGCCTATCATCTGTTCTAGGCATAAATTGTTTTTATTGAAAGTGAAAAAGATATTACTGTATTGAAAATCTGCAACTGCCTCAAATGAGGGGCAAAAGAACAAATAGTGCAGAAAGTATGTTTTCGCTACTTAAAATAACAGCATCTGCAATTTAATTGAACAGCTTTAAGTGCCATGGTAATCTTATTCTTCCCAGTTGGCAGAGTGGCTCTGTGATGTCAGCTCATTACAGAATATGGAAATGAAAACAAGTGTTTGAAAATAGCTGTTGTGGTGTTGGCTGGGAGTCCTTGTGATCCATCATGTGTCTTCTTTCCCGTCTTGAGTTGAAAATTATATAAACACACACACACGCACACACATATACAGATTGAGAGAGAGAGCTGAGGAAATTCTGTTATTTCTATTAAATCCTTGTGGTTTTCCCACTTAAAGTTAAAGTTAATACCCACACATTCAGTTTTCTCCTTAAAGTGTAGATTTTGTGGGATGAGTACATTTTGATTACTTGTAATTGAGGAACATGATTTTCTGTAAAATATTTAAGCTAGAAAGAGTATCCCTGAAAGCTTTAAAGAAGGGGGAATCAAATACTTGTGAAAAAGTAAAAAAAAAATCAAGCCAACAGAGGCTGATGTTCCCAGTCTCCTCCTGAAAATACAGTATTGTTTATTTTGTTCATGGACACGATTGGTTTTAAGGTGTACCACTAGGATACAAGCTACATGCCTATTGCTATAGTTTCCCCAAATATTGAGTAGGAAAGGGTAAAATCTTTCTTCTTCTTCAAATATTCTGATTGTTTTTGAAATAAAATTATAGATTGGTTGAATCTGGTAGAAAAGCAAAGTAGCATGATTGCCTAAAGAATAATGAGTTCAGATGACATGTGTTGATCCAGTGATTTCCAAATTTGGGTCCTCTGAGGGTTTTGGATTTCAACTCCTGGAAGCCTCAATAGTCAGGAGTTCTGGGAGATGAAGCCCAAAACATCTAATGGAGCAAAATTTAAGAATCATTGCATTAAGCTGTCAGAGTTCCTCCTTCTTTGCCAAATCTGTGTATTTTTTTCTAGCCATAGTTTGTGATGACACTTGAACTGGACAAACTCTGGTTTGAAAATGTTGTTTGGAAGCAATATTAGCAATCCTAATTTCGCCATTGTTTGCCATTGTTTGCAGGAACATCTTAACTACTTGGAAAAGCAGCCAGTTGTACTATATTAACTCTAGGATGTTAGGGCCTATTCATGTTGTGAAAACTCAAGATATCATTGAACCAGTTTAACCCCAGCAGTACTAATATAAATAGTTTGTTAGTCTCTAAAATGTAGTGCTGAACATTAGTTGAAAATTGTGCCATGTAAACTGGATTGTGCCATGAACTCCCAGCTTCCCAATGTCATGGTTTGCCTGCAGTGCCCCTCTGGTAAAAAGTGCTAATCATAACAATTAGCTCTATAATTTTCTGCATGATGCTACATCTAAACACAGAATCAGAATGATTTATCCCAGGTAGTTAACCTGGTGGCAGAATCCTGTTGGCTAACAGTTCCTCTACCAATTCGCCAAATAATTTCTTGCTCTTACAGCTTCTCAAAAATCTCATGTTAGAAGATGAAATGTGCTCATTTGCCTCAAGGGATTCTTAGCACTTCCTGTTTTATTTTGGCACATCCTCTTAACTGATGATTTGTGCTAATCATATTTGGGCATTTGTCTACTTCTAAAGGGAAGGAAATTTTCACCCTGTGCCCTTCTAGTATTTTATAGGGATATATTTTTGGCTAAAGTGATATTTTGTCATTTTCTTCTTGGATAATTTTGGCTTTGGGATGGGCAACTTTGCTTTTGGACCATCACAACATCAAAAAAGTACACTAGTCCAGAAAACCAGCTGCAATTGGGTTTTTAATAGCCTCTAGCAAAGATCCTGGTGTTTCCAGGATTGTTGAAATTATGTCACAACGGTGCCAGAATGCACTATCACCCTGTTGATATTATAGAGTCCCTTTCTGGAAGGAGGAAGATGAAGAAAATAGGGGTTTGTAATATTTACAAATGGAGCAGGATGGAGATCTCAAAATTGCATGGGGGTAAATATTGCCTACTCTTGTCCTAATGTCTTATTCACCTAAATAAAGTATTTGCTGGTTAATGTAGGGTGCACACATTTATAAACATTTCTGTTCAAATTATTGCAAGGGCCTGACTTGATGAAGCAGAGTTTCTATTTCCTCTAGCTCCTCCCGAGAGTGTCATTTAATCAGAGATTCAGGCAAAGTCTCTTCCAGTGGCTTCAATACTTGCAGGTTTTACTGTCAGTTCTTCTGTTAAGAGTGCTTTTTATCACAAAAGAAGAAGAAGAAATGTTGGAAGTACCACTTTGACCATTGAGCTTGGCCAATGTTAACCTGTCATTGTCAGTCATGCAGATGTACTTGTATAGACAATGTAAATACAGCTGTATATTTCTACATTTATATATTTTTGGTCACTGGTTAGGCTTATTAGCAATTTTGAAAAAGAATAGCCAAATACACAAAACATAGTGGAAACAATTTATTTTTTCAGTTCAAAATAAAATGGTCCTTGCACAAGCCAAATTGAGTTTTTACGTTTTATTTTATGTGAATGCAACCTTGTTTTGGAAGTGATTCTTTATTCTCTTCACACATTTGCAAACATTTTAACTGGTGAATTGTGGAGTTATTTCCAGAGCCTGGCTGTTTGGAATAGTTTTTATGTTCTTAAATCTTTAATACTACTATTTATATGGAAATCACTTGAGAATTTAGTTTAATCTTAGCATTTCTAGAAAGGTGAGGAGAAGACATTGGTTGCAGATTTTTAAAGAAATGCACACAGGAAATGGTGCAGTTGAAGACTGCATCATTGTTAGTAGAGTTTCCAAGAGTCCACTTCAGAATTTGTATTAATGATGATAACAGGGCTAGTAGCTAGAACATGAGTATAAAATGATTTGAATGTTTAAAGATACTGAAATGAGGTGCTTCTACCCAGATAATTCTTAGCCTCCCTCAACATTTTCCAGCAGTGAAAGGCTGACCGGCGTAAGATGAGATGGGTTATTCCTCTCTCTTGCATCATAGGCAGAAATGGTACAGACCTTTGACAAGTGCAGTGGTTCCCTTATTTTGACCAGGGACCACTTGACCAGGGACCACTTGACCAGGGACCACTTTAACCAGGACAACTTGATCAGGGACTACTTGACCAGGGATCACTCTCCAATATTAGTACCAAAAGGGTTACAAATCAGTTTTTGGTCAACTCGAGATTTAGGTTGGGATGCTGATTCAGAAAATTGCATTGGATAGACCACATCATCTCTAATTTCTCATACAGCAAATATGCCATGGTCAGTGACAGGGAAGGAGTGGCAAGCAGATTTTCGTCCTTGTGACCCACTGGTGGTCCGTGGCCCACAGGTTAGGAACCACTGCTCTAGTGAGAGCAATCCCATGTAAAGCTAGTCTTGATTCCTCCCCCACACCCCATAGATTGTGTTTTTCTCTTCCTTCCCTTTGCTTCACAAGATCTTTATTACTGCAACATCATCAACAAAGAGTTCTTCATCCTGGAAAAAAGTGACTAATGGAGTGCTGCAGGGTGCTTTCCTGGGCCCAGTTCTGTTCAACATTATTAATGACTGGGATGAAGATTTAGAGGGTGTGCTTATCAAGTTTGCAGATGACACCAAATTAGGAAGGATAGTTAATACTCCAGAGGAAAAGGATCAGAATTCAAAATGAGAGCTAGGCCAAAACAAACAAAATGAATTTCGTCAAGAATAAATGTAGGATACTACACTTAGACAGAAAAAAAATGAAATGCACATACACAGGATGGGTGACATATGAAAAAGATCTTGACGTCTAAATGGACCACAAGTTGAACATTAGCGAACAATGCAATGAAGCAAAAAAGCTGCCCTGAGTGTCCCCCCCTGGGGGGGGGGGGGGGATGAGAAGGACGGAGTACAAATGTACAAAATTAATGGGATTTTGAGTTGCATCAATAGTGTCTAGATTTGGGAAAGTCATGGTGCCTCTCTATTTTGCTTTGGTCAGACCTCACCTGGAATACTATGTCCAATTCTGGGCACCACCATTTAAGAGATATATTGACATGCTGGAAGATTTCCAGAGGAGGGCAACTAAAATGATCAAAGATCTGGAGGCTGTGCCCTATGAGGAGCATCTCAAAGAGCTGGATATGTTTAGCCTGCAGAAGACACGATAGCTATGTTTAAATATGTGAAATGCTGTCATAAGGAAGAGTGAGCAGGCTTGTTTTCTGTTGCCTTGGAGACTAAGATTTGGAGCAATGGGTTCAAATTACAGGAATGGAGATTCCACCTGAACATTAAGAAGAACTTCCTGACTGGCAGAGTTGTTCAACAGTGGAACTCTCTGCCTCGCAGAGTGGTGGAAGCTTCTTTATAGGCTTTTAAAACAGAAGACATGTAGTCTTCTGTTGGTGGTGTTTTGATTGTGCTTTTCCTGCATGGCCCATGTTGTCTCTTCCAACTCTATGATTACGTGATTCTATGAGTTTCTCAATCACCTTTCAGGTCATCTTGTGATCCCCTGTGTGGGAATTTTCTGTCACATGAAACATCAGCCAAGATCATGCTTTGACTTATGACTGGATTGCTTAAGGAGAGAAAAGTCATAATGACAAATTTTGACAGCATAAAGGTCAACAATGCACACAACTGTTTTGGTTTAGCAGGAACCTTGTTTATTCTGAGTTGACTAAAGCTTTTTAAGACTGAGGTGACCAATGGAGCAAAAGCAATGCTGCTTGAAAGGTCATGATGGAATGGTGCTTTAGAAATAGCAACCTCATCATTTTCATTGCTATGTACCTGTATGTTTCTCTGCCTTGGAAACAGGAGGTGTGATCTCAGGGTATGAGGAGGTGGGGCTCACTCCCTCGATTTCCATTGGAGGTGTTCTGTTCTCCACAGAAAGCTTAATTACACAGAGAGTGTTGAGGCCTTGGCCAAATAAGATAGAAAGTACCTGCCACATCAAAACTGATAAATCCTCCGTGTACATTTACGTAACTATTGTATTGGCTTACTTCACTTTCAGGGCAGAAAGGACAGTTTTCACTTGCTTTGAGGAAAGGGAGCAAGAACCTTGTGCCACTGACATTGCTAGTTGTCTTGGGAATGGGCTTGGGTAACAAGCTAATGAGTTAAAATACATTTAAAAATATAATCAGGTTTGGAATCCTATATATATAATTAGCTTTTTATGTGAAATAGGGTGCCATGCTTCACCCCATCCCCCCTTCAGCTTTGCCATTATATACTTTACAGATTGCTGATGATAATGACAGTTAAATCAATTTAAGATGGATCGAAAGTACCCTTAGTATGAATGGTGTGTATGCAGAAGCAGTACGAAATATAACTGTGATGATAATCACTACCAGTACTATGTTGATATCAGTGGCTCCAAAATGTCCCTTCCAGAACATCACGATATTATAAAAGGTCCCACAAAAGTATGGAGGGCAGGATATTGATGTCTGCTGCTTGCCATCTCCATATGTTGACTACTTGTTTCAGAGGATACTCCAAAAAGGGACAAGTAAAGGTAGCAAGGAAATGTGAACACACCTAACATAAGTGTTCTAGAGAAGTTTTACTATCTCTAGGAACAGAGACAGTGGAAATGTTCATTTGTGAAGGAAGAATGATTATTAAATCTTCATTTTACTCTTCCCTTTAACTACACACTTGATTTTAAGTGAGGGTAGAGAGAGAGCTTTGATGTTTGGTATAGTTATTCTGCACTATCTGTGAATTGTTATACGTGTGTACTAGTAAGAAAACATTAATTTTGAATATATTTTAGTGGCAGAATTATTTGAGGAAAACCTACCTGGTGAGAACATAAAGTTAGAAAATCAGATTGGAGGTCAATGAGGAAGGCTGAACGAAGGAAGATAGACGCTTTTGAACTGTGGTGTTGGAGGAAAATTCTTAGAGTGCCTTGGACCACAAGAAGATCAAACCACTCTAGGAAATAATGCATGACTGCTCACTGGAGGGAAGGATATTAGAAGCAAAGGTGAAGTACTTTGGCCACATAATGAGAAGACAGGAAAGCTGGAGAAGATGATGATGATGGGGAAAAAGGAAGGAAAAAGGAAGAGGGGATGAGCAAGGGCAAGATGGCTGGATGCCATCCTTGAAGTGACTGGCGTGACCTTGAAGGAGTTGAGGGTGGGAATGGCCAACATGGAGCTCTGGCGTAGGCTAGTCCATGAGATCACGAAGAGTTGGAAGCAACTAAACAAATAAACAACAACAAGGAGCTAACTAAACTAATAGCGCACTACTAGGTCTTCCCAAATATAGCATTTTCCCTGCAAAGGAGGGGGAGGGAAGCAGCTGAAGTATATGCAAGAATGACAATACGGTTACAGTGCATGAACTGCAAAATCAATTTGCCAAGGCTGTCCTACTTTGGTATTATCAAATATCAAGTATACTTGGCAACTAGCATTTTTGTTTTCGAAAGGATTGATCCATTATATTTCAGAACTGGCAGATGTAGAGATTGTATCTCTACATTTCAGATTGTATCTTTTAAATGTAAAATAAAATAAGCTGCTCAATAAGAAAAAAAATCCAAAATCTACAGTCAGACAATATCTTCTTGAAGACCAACTTGTGCTATTGCTATGTGCTATTAAATTGTGTGTATGCCTGCACCTTGGAACATATATCTTACAGATACGGAGGTCATACTGTACTCAACTGGTTGACAATAAGTATAGTGAGCTACCCTGTTGTCCAACACACTTATTCTAACACATGTAGTAACTTTCTAGTGGCAATTCTTCTAACACATGTAGTAACTTTCTAACACATATAGTAACTTTCTAGTGGCAACTCTATGGCCACTGCTGTATTCACATTTCCCCTCACTCTTAAGCAAGTGCGTAGAGCTATCCTCTTGAAAAGTGGGCTGGCTACACTTCCTTGCGCTGACTCACAGTACTGTTCCAGGATCTAATAGATCAGGTTTTTATGAGGAACAGGAAACTATTGGGGGAAGAAGCAGCTAAGAGAAACATCTCCCTTGCTTTCAAGAAGAGGACTCTGTTCATGGATTCACCCTACACTTCCATGTCCACCAGACACCATCTTAACCCTCCAAGAGGTTCTTTCTGGAAGTTTTTGGCCTTGTGAAGACTTTTGATAGTTTGTTCTTGTCCTTGACTTTTTAAAAATGAGATTTTCTCCTGACGCTTTGATTGCATTTGAACTGCTCGAAATTCTGCCTCCCGCTGTGTAGCCACCTGCCGAGGTCCCACGCTGATACGTGGAACTTTCCCTTCTTTATAAGGCGGCTTTTGCCTTGTGGACTTTGCAGTCACAGCCAGAAACAAAGATGGGGAAGAGTCTGCTGTTGTTTGGTGAGCATGCCCTAATCCCTTTTCTACAAGAGTATGGTAGGCATGATATAAAATTCCTGCAGGTTTGACTATTAAAGCAATAGGATGAATGTATAAGGGGAGGAATTAAAAAGTTTCTTCTTAAGGAGAGCAATAGTGTTCAAAATGGTGCCATATCTTTGGAAATCTTTCGTTCAGATCTATGCCTAGTTTTGCCCATGCAGACTTTTGGGGAAAAATGGAAAGTTATGTGGGGATGAGATGAGCTCAAAACACAGGATACTCTTGTTTAACATTTCAGTCTATTATTTGATACCTATTCATGGTCCACAGATTCAGCACAACCTTCTGTGGCAATCACAACGTATTTGGATAACATGATGGCATTGCATCCTCATGCAGCCAATAAGACATGGCTAATTGATGATGTTATGATGCATAACAGAATGCATTGGTTTCACTCTGAACAGTGTTCCTAATGTTGTCAAAGTAACAATTTCAATTATGATAGAGTTGAATTTAAATAAAGGCAATACTTCCGATCAACACCTTTTCTCTGTCTCACAGCCTTGCCTCCAATTTCTCATAGTACTTTTCATGGGTGAGCTTTGTCTGTGTGCCAAATTCCATTCTGGCTTAAGTCTGTATACAAATACTGACAAGAATGTCTTTAGTTGTTTTTAACATATGCACATTTTTCTTGCAGGTTTGGCCATATTGCTGCAGTTGCAGCTAGGTGAGGACCTCTTCTTATAATATAAACCTTAAGACTTAAGCAGCTGGAAAAGGTGGGGTTTAAATACATTAAATTAAAAAATAAACAACAACCATAATAAATCAAACTAAGAAGAACCCTAGCCAGGGATATTCCTTATCTGGCTGGAGACCAGAAGGCCTCACACAGCAGGTGAAGCAGAGATAAGCAGGAATAATGTCATGATTGTAATAGAAATAAGGAAAGAAACAGGTCGCATGTTTCCCCCATTGACTTGGAAGTGGGAGGGCAGGACAGGGCTGGTGGATGATGGGACAGCAGGTGGGGGGAGGCAACGGACATGGTCCCCTTTTCTCAACATGCAGTTACAATTGCATACTGGGAATGTCCAACTTGAACAGAACCCAGGCAGGGTTCATATTAGTAAAATTTATCAAAAAGAGGATGAATAAAATTGAGAAACAAACATACATCCTACAAACGTGGTTCACCAGGGCTCCTTTTCTACCTCTTTTAACAGGCTCTGCTTACAAAATTGTGTGCTATTTCACAAACTGGTCCCAGTACAGGCCAGAGCCAGCCAAATACTTTCCAAACAATGTTGATCCAAATCTCTGTACCCATCTGATCTATGCCTTTGCCACCATGAACCAACATAAAATTGCACCTTATGAATGGAATGACGAGGACAGGCTCTACCCAGAGTTCCAAGCACTTAAGAAAAGGTACGTCCTTCCCTTTCAGAAACCTTTTGACTATATCTGTATCTATGCTTACAGCTGAATCTGCCACTCTACATACATACATAGTCATATCTGCATATGCACATACAGACTTGAAAAAGCTGTTTTCCTTTCCTAGCATGAAGTCTCTCCCTCATTCCTTCCCTCCTATTGTGGATGACCATGTTATTTGATTTCAATGGTATTCCAGTTAATAAATCTGTAGAAACTTTTCATGTATTGATGTGCTTTATTGAAACAATCGTACATTTTTGCTCATAATGACTGAGATGCATTTTGTAATATTACTTCGGCTCTGCAATTACCATGCAAATTTGTGCACTGATTTTCTTTCATGTGTCTTTCAGCAACCCCAATCTTGTCACACTCCTCGCAATTGGAGGCTGGAATTTTGGCACTCAGAAGTGAGTATCCCCCTATCCTTAACCAGGTTATTCAAGACTTTAATTATATATCACATCCTCCAAAGAGATGGGGAGAAGGTTGACCTTCATAATATTTACATATGCAAATCTATATGATGAGATGTAAATTTAGAAATAACTCCTGTAATATAATAGAAATGTGACACAACTTAATACAGTGGAAAATAATGTGTCTAGGTAATTCGTGTGCCTTTGAGTCTCCTCTCTGGGTTCTAAATCTTGATGGACAACTTTAAGGCTTCTACGCTCCCCTCTTTTGCTTCTTTCCATTCAAACTAGTGAATGCTTCCAATTACAACACTGTCCTTACAAAGCCTTTCAAGCAAAACACCATGTTCTCCATAGTAACTATCTGGCCCCTAAAAGGTGAGAAGAAAACACTATGAAATTCATTAGTTTGTCATAAGTCTTGAAAGCACACTCACATGATAGGGGGGCTTCTTCTGTTTGGTATGGTTTGAAGAGGCATGCCCATACAATCTGTGGGTTGTACTTTGCCTACCTTTGCTTAAAATGTGGCATGTTACTTATGAGCATCTTCTGTAGGACTGGAACAACATTTAATGAAGCCAATTGCATGTGCATAGAGCCCCCGGTCAGGCATGTAGCTGGGGGGGGGGGCTTGGGGGGCTTTAGCCCCTCCCGAAATTCTCATGGTGCTCCGCAAGAAGGCCTTACTGGTACATTATTTAAACTGTTATGTTTATTCATATCATGATCTGATCACCATGCTCAATATATCCCATATGCTTGGGAGTATTGGGGTAACGATACAAAAGGTTTGCTAGACCCTCTTTCACTCAGACTCAGACCCTCTTTCACTCAGACCCTCTTTCACTCAGACTCAGCCCCCCCCCCCCCCCTGAAACAAAATCCTGGCTACGGGCCTGCCCCTGGTAGTGCAGTGGGTTAAACCCTTGTGCCGGCAGGACTGCTGATGAGACATCAGGTTCGAATCCAGGGAGAGCGGGTTGACCTTCCTCTGTCAGCTCCAGCTCCCCATTCGGGCACATGAGAGAAGCCCCCTACAAGGAGAGTAAAACATCAAACATCAGGGCGTCCCCAGGCAACGTCCTTGCAGACAGCTAATTCTCTCATACCAGAAGTGACTTGCAGTTTCTCAAGTTGCTCCTGACATGAAAAAAAAAATACAGATCACACAGGTCCGAGCTAAGAAATAAACACTTTGTTGTGAGGAAGTTTTTTTTAACCATGGGATAGATTAATCCATTGTTACACGGTTAGGCCATTTAAATGCATCTTCAATTATAGGAAAGGTGTTGTAAAAATGTGGTTCCAACATGGTTTCAGATGATATTTAAAGAGCACTTTGAAGCACACATCAAGGTAAATTGCTATATTTCATATGGTGTGAGTTATAGAAAATGGAAGCAATGACATCTCTGATTAGAGTGGTGCGTATTCTAGTGGCAGAAAGGTACAAGGCAGGATAACAGAGAATGGCTGCTCTTCCCACTTGTCATTCTTCACTGGTTTAGCGCCTTCCATTTACTTTCTCTTGAAAAATGCACAAGACTCAAAGACTGTTCAACAGATTTACTCAAAATGTACTCTTAGATGCCCAAGAGGCGAAAAAGGCATAACAGAAAAAACAGAGATATTTAGACTGCAACTATATGTATGCAATGGCATGTGGCAGACAGTATCTAAGGATTTCTTCACCTCAGGTTTACTGAAATGGTTGCTTCAGCTGGCAATCGGAAGATCTTCATTGATTCAGTGATAGAATATCTCCATAAGTTTGGCTTTGATGGAATTGACCTGGACTTTGAATACCCAGGATCCAGGGGTAGTCCTGCTGAAGACAAGCAGCGCTTCACAATCCTCATTGAGGTGAGTAGCCAATATATTAGTCTAAGATGAGGGTCTTTTTCTAGTAAATAGTACCATGCATATTTAATATTATTAGTTGGTCTCTCAAATATATTTGAAATTATGCTTTAAGTGCCTGAAAAACACCCTCATGTAAACAGCTCTATATTGCTTCTCGTTATAAAGTAGCAGTTATTTGGTTTCAAATTGCCAGACTCCTTGAGTTCATGCCAGATGAGTCTCTTGGAAGCTAAAGTCCATAAGATCTAAAGGACCCCAGATGAAAAAGCACCTCTGTAAAGTATAGGAGTACCCCTCTGGTTCTTGAAAATTCATCTGCTTTTTTTCACTGCTATGGTGATCTCTGTTATTCACCATTTGTAGCAGTGGTGGAGAAACTATTCTCTTCACTGGGGGATGTGGAGTCCAAAGCAAAAGCCAGTCACAGCTCCTAACAACTCTGCTTTAGACATTACTGTCTTCATGCTGGTAGTAATAGATAGATAGATGGATGGATGGATGGATGGATGGATGGATAGATAGATAGATAGATAGATAGATAGATAGACAGACAGACAGACAGATAATACAATAGATAATACAATCAAAGAGTTGGAAGTGACCTCAAGGGCCATCCTGTCCAACTCCATTGATAGATTGATGATTGATTGATAGATAGATAGATAGATAGATAGATAGATAGATAGATAGTCGAACCAAGAGCCATCCAGTCCAACCCACTTAAATAGACAGATAATAGAATCCCAGAGTTAGAAGAGACCACAAGGGTCATCCAGTCCAACTCCAATAGATAGATAGATAGATAGATAGCTAGATAGATAGATAGGGCAGTGACATATTTCAATCTCTTCCTAATATTAGTTCTTGGCATGAAAGTTTCAACCTCCCCATCTCTGTAGACTGTATGTACACTGTATGTAGGGGAAAATACACTATAGGCACTAGATCTTCACTGACCTTGAAAGGTAAGCAGGGTAAGCTCTGTTTCGTACACCAATGAATTCTGGGCAGTGTAGCTTATATTTCAATGGAAGGACCTGGCAAAGCTACCTTTGTGTATTGCTTGCCTAAGAGAGCCCTATGAAATTCACAGACTTGCAATAAGTTGACAGGCGACCAGAAGGCATGCACACACACAGTATATTGTACATAGGTGCATGGTGGGTGTGTTTCCTGCCTACCTATTGACAATGGATATGGCTCCAAGGGTCAGTGGGTTGTACATCCCTGCCCTATTACAAAGTACTGAAATTAGGACAAAGCCATTGTGGTGTAACTGGGAAGCTAAACTTTCTAGTGTTTTCAACTTGAAACAAACAGTGCAGTGATTAGTTTGCTGTCATACTGGAGGTGTACAGCAAGAAACCCTTTGTTCCAAAGGTTTAAGGGACCCACAACTATCTTTTTTTTCTGAAAATGTACATTTCAGAAAAGGTAAAGGTAAAGGTTTTCCCTTGACATTAAGACTAGTCATGTCCAACTCTAGGTAGTTGTGCTCATCTCCATTTCTAAGCTGAAGGGCCGGTGTTGTCCGTAGACACCTCCAAGGTCATGTGGCTGGCATGACTGCATGGAGCATGGTTACCATCCCACTGAAGCGGTACCTATTGATCTACTCACATTTGCAGGTTACAAACTGCTAGGTTGGCAGAAGCTGGAGCTAACAGTGGGAGATCACCTTGCTCCCCGGATTCAAACTGCTGACCTTTTGGTCAGCACGTTCAGCAGCTCAGCAGCATAACCCGCTGCACCACCAGGGCCTCCTCAGAACAGCTATTGTGATTTAAGTAATGGCCCCTTACAGAAGATACAAGTGACAGTTGTTTGCTTTGTAAGGGAGTGGTAGTGGTAGGAAAGTCCTATATAACTTTCATATTTTGATGATTTACATAGTTATTTCACTGATATAGACCTATGCCAGAATAAATCTTAGTTCCAGCCAGAATAAACAAAAGACATCAATATAACTTACGTAAGTGTTGACTTATGAAGCCACCATTGATCCAGTGAATCCATTCTAATTCAGACTAATAATTACATTTAGGCTTAAGTTCCACAAGATCCTGACAGTTGTCATAAGAGAAGATATGTAGCTTGAATACAGCCAGGGCCTGAATCAATTGCTGAATAGACCCATTGAATCAATTGTTAGATAGTAAGTTAACCCTTGGGTAAATCCCATTGATTTGAGACTAATAGTTGGATTTAGGCCCTAATGAGCAACAAACAAATGATGTTATAAGTTTGTACATTTGCCTAATGACAATACATCCCAAGCGTAGAACTAACAATACATCATTAGGTAGTGAAACAATAGATAGTGAAACAATCTGGGAAAACCTAAAGTGATTACATACCCTTATCCGGAAAAACTTAAACCTTTTATAGTGTATTTTGAAAGAAATTAAGGCCTGTCATAGGAATGTGTGGATGAACAAGAAGAACTTATGACTGGTTTCTCACTATCTCTCCATAGGAAATGCTGGCTGCTTTTGAAAACAATAAAGTTGATGGGAAAAGACTTTTGGTTACTGCAGCAGTTTCTGCGGGCAAAGGAACCATTGATGCAGGATATGAAATTGCTAAAATTGGAGCGTGAGTATCAGGAGGACATCTGTGATTTTAAAATTTTGGGGACAAAAACTTATTTACATTTCTTTTTCAGGTACCACCAGTCTTAAAATTTTCATGCAATCTGACTATGTCTGCCTATAAGGAGCCATGGTGACACAATGGGGTAAACCCTTGTGTTGGTTTAACTGCTGATCTGAAGGTCGGCAGTTTGAATCCATGTGGCGGGGTGAGCTCCCATCTGTCAACACCAGTTTCCTATGCAGAGACGTGAGAGAAGCCTCCCACAGGATGGTAAAACATCCGGGCATCCTCTGGGCAATGTCCTTGCGAATGCCAATTCTCTCACACCAGAAGCGACCTACAGTTTCTCAAGTCGCTCCTGACATGGAAAAAAAAGTGGCAATATCCCAGGTTTGCTCAATAAATTTTGAGGGACACTGATAGAAATCTAAAAAGATATGGCATTGTTGTTGATTTCCCCACAATTTCTATTGTTATTGGTGTATAAGGAATCATGTATGGTACACGGTATATAAGGAATTATGTATGTTCACTCCAGACTTTTAGATTTCATCAGCGTAATGACATACGATTTCCACGGAGGCTGGGACACCTGCACAGGACATAACAGCCCGTTGTACGTGGGGCCCAAAGACCAAGGCGATATGAAGTATTTCAACTGTGTAAGAAAAGCTTCTGATTTCGTGTATAATACTAGTTTCTGTGCATGCGTTTGCATGTGCCTTTTTGCTTGCTTTTTAAGAACAAGATGAATGAGCAGTCTAATAATTCCAAGTCTCACCCACCAACTTAACAGGACTATGCCATGAGGTACTGGAGGGACAACGGTGTCCCAGCTGCAAAGCTGATGATGGGATTCCCCACTTATGGGCGCACTTTCAGGCTGACTAGTTCAGACACTGGTGTTTGTGCTCCTGCTTCTGGGGCTGGCTCAGCAGGACAATATACCCGGGAGGCAGGCTTCTGGGCTTATTACGAGGTAAAATATACCTGTTTTTGTATTTCTCTTTATGCTTTCGTATTTGTCATTATTTTTAAAGAATTTAAATACATTTCATCCTTACCAGGGCAGTGTACAAAGGATAGTGAAGAAGCAAAACTCTAAAATGTTTTATGCACTGTTGAGTATACTTATGTCATTGTATTTATACTTATGTATCACTGTCTGCATGTGGCATTTGGAGTGCTATGGAGCCCCTGGTGGCGCAGTGGGTTAAACCCCTGTGCCGGCAGGACTGAAGACCGACGGGTCGCAGGTTCAAATCCGGGGAGAGGCAGATGAGCTCCCTCTATCAGCTCCAGCTCCTCATGCGGGGACATGAGAGAAGCCTCCCACAAGGATGATAAAAACATCAAATCATCCAGGCATCCCCTTGGCAACGTCCTTGCAGACGGCCAATTCTCTCACACCAGGAGCGACTTGCAGTCACTCCTGATACAACAAAAAAACCCCAAAAAATTGGAGTGCTTCTGTGAGCTGACCCGAGTCCCTTTGGGGAGATGATGACAAGGTACAAATAAAGATGATAATGATGATGATGATGATGATGATGATGATTATTATTAAAATGCTGTTGAACATCTTTTAAACCACTCTTTCTTTTTTTGCATGGTCCTCTCTTTCCAGCTTCATTCTTTTTTTCTAGATATGTTTTGGTCCAGTTGTGTTTGACATTAAACAATAGGTTATAGGTTGTGTCATAAAACAAACAGCTTTCCTTTCATAATAAGAATACCAATAAAAAATCTTTTTTCCCATGTTTACACAGATCTGTACATTTTTGAAGTCTGCCACTGTAGAATGGATTGATGAACAGAAAGTTCCATACACCTACAAAGGCAATGAATGGATTGGATATGACAACATTGCCAGCTACCGATGCAAAGTAATCCTACTTTTTCTTTAATTTTACCATTTCCCAGATATGAGAATATGGATTTAATCCTCTGAACACCTCTCCTAGATGTAGATGAAATGTGGGGAGGCAAACATAAGGTAGAATTGTCTATCTAGTGAGTGCCAAGGGCATTTTTTAAAATGTGTATGCAAATGTTATTTCTTAACCTGACCGCTGGCGATGACCTACTTTTGCCTATTTTGCTCCATTAAACTGAAGCCTCGTTTATATTGACCATTTAATGTAGTCAAAAGTTAGCTTCAGACTACAGTGTCCAGACAACAAGCTCCCACAAAAAGGGCACAAAAGAAAGCCAAGATTCTGTAGTTGGTGTAATCACTACTTCAAACTGGTTCCAGGATTTCCTATGTGATCATCTGCACAGCAAGTGATCCGTGTAGATGGGCCTCAGACAGTGAACGTGCTGTTTCTCTCTGAACGCATAGTAGATACTGGTTGAAACATAATTATATTTCAAAGGTTTATGACATCCTTCTTGAGAAAGTGAGCAGTTTTAGCAATAGTTATGAAACAGAAAATGAAAAAACACGCTCTGGAATCCCTGTTTTGAAAGCTGTCCTTTTGTTTTTGGTAGGTCAAATACCTGAAAGAAAACAGTTTTGGAGGTGCTATGGTTTGGGCCATTGATCTGGATGATTTTCTGGGCACTTTCTGTAATGAAGGAAAATATCCTCTAATATCTGAGTTGAAGAGACTTCTTGAATCAAATGGTAAGAATTAGTAAGCGTTAACAAGGCTTTCTTGCTCAGTTGTGATGACATTTGCTAGAATTTCAAAATGCTTAAGTACTGTATTAGTCTTATAGGCAGTGGGACTTATTGTTTAAATTCTCAGCTCCGTACAAATGATGCAAGGATTTTAACTCTGGCAGATTGCCATATCTAACGCCCTTGCACAACAACAGCAGCATTGGCAATGTCTGAAATTGTCTCAGCATGGAACTGACAGGAGAGACCATGGCAAGACTACTTCCAATTCTTCTGTGTTGCATTCGTGTTCTCATAAGAAGAACAAACACATCCTGTGTTACTTTCTTCTTCCTCTTTTTGCCCCAGAATATTTATGGTGTAAAACAGTAGTTCTCAACCTGTGGGTCCCCAGGTGTTTTGGCCTACAACTCCCAGAAATCCCAGCCGGTTTACCAGCTGTTAAGATATCTGGGAGTTGAAGGCCAAAACATCTGGGGACCCACAGGTTGAGAACCTCTGGTGTAAAACACATGAAAGGTTTTTTAAAAAAAGAATTCATGCCATTCGCACTTGAACTGATCTAGACATTTAGGGCTTTAAGGGTTTTTATGACACAGTTGTGTTCTTTGCATTTAATCCTGCAGGAACACAAGCTCCTTCTCAGAGACAGAGAGAAATCTAAACAAAGTGCAAAACTTATATGTGTTGAAGGAGAGGGAGACATTCCTGTTTTGTAAGACAGAAGGTCTCATGTTGCCTTGATATATGTCTCTTAAGGACGTGATCATGGGTAACTAAAAATTAATGGGATGAAAAAAGAGGCATGGCCATGAACTGTCTAAAAGTCACAAGACAAGAAAGGATCATGAACTAGATGATGAGATGAAGTTGAAAGACTTGGTGGTGGAAGTGTAAATGGAAACTAAGAGACTAGAACTAGTAACATTATAAAGACATGCTTGAGCTTAAGTAGAAGATAAAACTGTGTTGTCTGTGCGGTCACCTCAACACAAAGGTTGCTAACATTGAGGAACACATCTTGTAGGAAGAATTAGATAAAACCAGTCAGGGACCTATAGGTTCCTGTAGTCTTCCACAGAATGAAGAGGGGCAAGTTTGCCTTTAACTCTCATATGGGTCATTCTGCAATGCAAATAAGGCTGGCTTCTGAGAATAAAGTGGGGGTGAACTGTACTGGGTGACTCTATCAGAGGCAAGACACCAAAATGATTGTCTATAAGATTTTGATTTACTTTTTGAACCTTCTAATAGGTGGATATTATTATTACCCAATTATAGTGACACTTCATATCAAGTAGATTCATTGGTAAATGCTAGAAGTACACGCAGCTGTTTTCATTGCTGCAGGTTTTTTAATAGTTGGTGACTTTGACAAATGTTCTAGTACTGTGGTCTGGTATGGGAAATATATTAATCATAATAATATTATTAATATTAAAAATAGGTTCTTGTAGGTTTTTTTCGGGCTATAGGGCCATGTTCTAGAGGCATTTCTCCTGACGTTTCGCCTGCATCTATGGCAAGCATCCTCAGAGGTAGTGAGGTCTGTTGGAAATAGGAAAATGGGTTTATATATCTGTGGAATGACTGGGGTGGGGCAAAGAGCTCTCTGCTGAAGCTAGGTGTGAATGTTTCAGCTGACCACCTTCATTAGCATTTGAAGGCCTGGCTGAGCCTGGGAAAATGTTCTGTTGAGAGGTGTTAAGATGTGCCTGGTTGTTTCCTCTCTGCTGTTTTGCTGCAGTAATTTTAGAGTTTTTTAATACTGGTAGCCAGATTTTGTTCATTTTCATGGTCTCACCTACAAGAACCTAGTGATTCCAGCCATGAAAGCCTTTGACAATACAATATTAATAATACTTTATTTATAGACTGCCCTCTCTCTCTCCGAGGGGACTCAGGGCAGTTTACAACACAAAAAGACAAACTTGCAATGCCCAGACAAATGCAAAAAAATGACAATAATACAATATAATCAACATAATAATGACAGTGAACTTATTCTCTAAAACATTGATGTCAAAATGAAAAACAAGATACAAATAATCACATAGAAATGGGTTACACTAATCACATACTCAACATTAAAACATCTCAAATGATAAAAACAATTAAAATGAATGGAAATTGGCCGATTATAGTTGTTCTTGAAGTGTACCCAAGTGGCCACGAGAGACAAGTAGGTCAGCCAACATTCCAATTGATCTAGAGCAGTGGTTCTCAACTTGTGGGTTCCTAGATGTTTTGGCCTTCAACTCCCAGAAATCCTAACAGCTGGTAAACTGGCTGGGATTTCTGGCAGTTGTAGGCCAAAACTCCTGGGGACCCACAGGTTGAGAACCATTGATTTTGAGTGTCCTAGTCCTCCTCCTCTCCATATGCCAAAGTACAAAGGTATGTCTTCAAGAGTTTTTTAAAGGAGAGGAGGGTGGAGGCCATTTTTATTTATTTGGAGATATATTATTACACCATGAGTGATTCCACTGGATGACACCAACCCTAGTGATGCCATTGAGTGTCAACATAATTTACCAGAAATTGTTTATTTCCACACTGAATTGATGAATATTCTTTTCAGATCCCATCGCCTGTGATGGAGCAACCCCAACTCCTCCCACAGAGACAACTACAGCTCCTTCAGTTGAACCTCCACCAGACACACCAACACCTCCTCCAGGCACTACAACTACAACTACTGCGGGGCCTTCAGATCCTGATAACTTTTGTGCAAACCAATCAGATGGCATCCATGCTCACCCTGAAGACAACACCAAATTCTATATGTGTGTTAACAACCAGACATTTACCTTTAGCTGCGCAGCTGGGTTGGTTTTTAATGACAGTTGTAAGTGCTGTGACTACCCTTAAATATTCACAGATAGTTTCCAGCAAAAAGAGGTGATTTACATCAGGCAGCATTGTAACCAACAGAAAATGCCTTTCTTCACAAGCCATAAGATACTTGAGCTTACATTTTACCTTTTCTCCATCCATCCTCCTGTCTTAGATTGTAAGCCTGAAGGCAAGGATTGTTTTACTACCAATATTTGTAAGCACCTTTAAGATCCTTTCTGGAGAATCTGTGTAAAAATGTTATGAAAAAAGAAAAGCACAATTAAAATCCATTAGGCATAACTAAAGTGTATTTGTGTTGATATCTTTTGTGGAATATTGTTGGTGGGATGACTACTTTCAGGATGAATCAAAGATAATTAGCATTATTATGCACATCTCATGACAATCTGTGGAAGAACAGAACAGGAAAATCCATGTTCTGTAAAATACATCATGTAGCATACTTGTTGAAGCTAAGGTTAGGAAAATAAGATACATCTAAATTAAACCACATGCTCTAGTCCAGTGGTTCTCAGCCTGTAGGTCCCCAGGTGTTTTGGCCTACAACTCCCAGAAATTCCAGCCAGTTTACCAGCTGTTAGGATTTCTGGGAGTTGAAGGCCAAAACATCGGGGGACCCACAGGTTAAAAACCACATGTTCTAGTCAATTGAATTCCAATTGGCTTCAAGTCTCTAAGTTTGCAGGTAATCAATTACGGTAACCTGTTTTCTCTCCCAATCAATATTAGTCAATTAGTCAATACAAAAATTAAAGTTTTGTATCATTTGTCCATTAAAAACCAACATAATTCCATTCCTTCAGTGGAATTCAATTACATAATTGCATATAATACAAACAGTGGGAATGAAGCAAAATAACAAAGGGTTGACGCTCACAAGCAATAATTAAAAGATAATAATTCACTTAGAATTGGGATGGGCAAAGGTCGGTCTTAGGACAACGAGTAACCTACAAAGCCTACTTTTGCAGCTACTCTCAGATTCCACAGGTGGCCAATTTTCTGACTTTCTACTGAGTGCCATTTTGAGGAAAATGCCACTAAAAAGGACAAGTTTCTAATTAAGGAAAGAAATTCTGTTCACAATGATGTTTGTGATGAACCACATGGAGTGGCTACAGAGGAAACTACACAAGAATCAACTGCAGTACATAAGTGTAAAGGGGGGAAAAATCCAAAATTTGTTCATACAGCCAAGATTATATGAAGCTTCTAAATATTATACATTATTTAATTGTATATGGAGCCCCCGGTGGCACAGCGGATTAAACTACTGAGCTGCAGAACTTGCTGATTGAAAGGTCGGTGAGTTGAATCTGGGGAGTGAGGTGAGCTCCCTCTGTTAGCCCCAGCTTTTGCCAACCTAGCAGTTCAAAAACATGCAAATGTGGGTAGATCAACAGGTACTTCTCCAGCAGGAAGGTAATGGTGCTCTGTGCAGTTATGCTGGCCACATGGCCTAGGAGGTGTCTACGGACAATGCCAGCTCTTCGATTTAGAAATGGAGATGAGCACCACCGCCCAGAGTCAGGCACAACTAGACTTAATGTCAAGGGGACATCTCTCTCTCTCTCTCTCTCTGTATATATATATAGTGTGAAACTCTTATAAGGGGTTGGTTTAACCTCTGGTTTGCTGAATTACTTTATTGCAAAAGGATGTATGTCTAAAAAAGTATATCACCAACATGAAAAGTTTGGAAAGCTCTGCTCCAGGGCTTAGAAAGTGTAATTTGTCCAAGCTGACCCAGTGAGAAAACCAAATGAACACTCAAAGCACTATGTCATACTGGCACCCTCCAAGGTGATCTTAAGTAAAACTTCAAGGATAGAGTATCTTTAGTCTCAAGACAACCATGGAACATCCATTTGTTTGATGGCTGAATCCCTTAGCTTTTAATTACATTTGCAGGGTTAAATCATATTAGTGTTGATTATATTGTTAAAATATAATAATATTAGAATTATAGAATCATAGAGTTGGAAGAGACCTTGTGAGCCATCCAATCCAATCCCCTGCCAAGAAGCAGGAAAATCACATTCAAAGCACCCCCGACAGATGGCCATCCACCCTATACTTAAAAGTCTCCAAAGAAGGAGCCTTTTCAAAAGTGCTTTTCTCTTTGCCTCTCTTTTTATTCTCATAAACCAATGTGTATGTGCCATTATAAGCTGCCTTGAGTCCCCCTGCTGGGGTAGAGAAAGGTGGGCTATAAATATGGCAAATAAATACATTCAGTTAAACTGACGTTTTATAGGCTTAAGCTAGTGGTTCTGTGGTGATGCTATGTTGCATTCCGAAGCATAACTGCATGTATCAATGAAGTCCTACTGGCTTCAAGTGGCAACCATTAAATTCAATGTTAGTGGGGCTATGACCCTACTTTGGGTTTTAATTTAAAGAACTTCTTCATTGTGTTATACCTTATTACAAAAATAGGTGTGGTTTCTTGAAAGGCACCTTTCCAGTTGGCATGAGAATCCAGAACAGATTCCCCATCTCACTGACATGGGAACCACCAGCTGAGCATGATTTTGTTTTCTAGGTTGCAAAACCATAAGATTTAATTATGTAACATAATTCTATTTGCATAGTGATATCTAATCAACTATAAACATTCACCAAAGTTTATTTACTGAAATCATTGCCATCTACACACCAGGACTGGGAAAGCACCTCTGAACCCAGTGCCAGACACCAGAGTTCTTTATAGCAAGCAGTTTACTGAAGAATAAAAATAGCTTCAGCAAAAGAATAAAAGATGTTCAAAAGTAATATAGAATATTGTCCATAAAAATAGTCACTTAAACATGAAAGGCAATAATCCAAACATCAAGTTCAGGAAACAGGAATGTCCAAAAACCATGGCAAGATCCAAAGGTAACAAGAGTCTGTGAGCCCAAGATAATCTAGGAATACAAAACCAAAAAACACATGAAAATACAGGAACAACTTGAGAATAGAATCCAAGGCATGAAAAGTTACAGGAATAATCACATGAATGTTGATCCAAGACACAGGAAACAAGATGGGAATTGCTCTCCAAAGTAAATGTTGGTTTCTCTGAAAATCACAATCTCAGGTGCCCTCATATATAGTCAAAAAGCCATACCTTTTCCCTTGAGAAACCTTGGGAGGACTCTTTTTTCCAATGATCTTTGTGAGTGCCTTTTGCCCCCTACCAGATGTCTTTGTTGACAGATCTGGCTCTGTCTATCGAAGTATGCCTCGTCCTCCTTAGAACCACCAATTACTGCATTCCTTTCACATTCTGACCTTGACTGCTTTGTGAACCCAGACTCTTTCTTTGTCTGCACAGGCACATCTAATGCAGGCTTGACCATTCCAGAGCTTTCAGCTACATCATGGCTAACAACACTCTCTTGTCCAAAACCCCCATTTCCAGACCCCTGTGAGACTGCAGGATCTTAGTCATTTGATACTGAAACCTCAGGCAATGAAACAATTGCAGGCTGGGCTACTACAGTAGCAGGGATCTCAACCAAAATGCTCCCACTTCCAAACAGGTGAAATAAAAATTGGAAACTAACTAAAGTCCCATTTGTGAAAAAAAAGATTTTCAAACGAAGATTGAACCGAAAATGAATCAGGTAGCCTGTCTGGACTGTAATATGGCAACCTTATACTGGAGGTAAGATATAAGTACAAACCTGTATCTGATTTTGGATATCCGATTACTGGCAAAAATGACCAAAATCCAGCTGAGCAATCCCTATGGGCAATGGTATGGGAGAAGGTCTCCTCCCACCAAAATGCCTTATTTCTCTGAATCTGTGACCTTTTCACTTTGCATCCTCAAAGACAGCCTCCATGGGACATTGTAGGGTGTAAAAAATCTAAGTTCTTCTTCCCACCTAGAAAATTCAATTAGTAAATTCAGACACTTAGTCTTTTTCAATCTGACCTACCTCACAAGCCACCCTGAGTCCCTCTGCGGAAGTTGAGATAGGACGGGATATAAATGTCCCAAATAAATAAATAAACAAACAAACAAACACTGTCATGAGAATAAAAGGAGGGTGGAAGTGGTAGAAGTAGATTCAGAAATAAGAAAATATATTTTGCTTTGTGTCCAAAGTTCATGGCTTCAAGTTCTAGTGTGTAGTGGATAAACTGCTGGGACAGGGATTTGGAAGGTCTGTGTTTGAGTATTCAGTGAGCCATGGAAAAAGTTTGTTCATCGTGAACCTGTGGTCAGTTAGGTTTGCACGAAATTTCTGGAAGGCACATTACAATTATTGTATCCATGTTATAGCTTCTATGTTGCTCCCTGCATTTCACCAGTAAAGGTGAACAATGTATCTTTCTAAATCAGTAGTTCCCAACCTTTGGTCCACCATGTGTTTTGGACTTCAGCTCCCCCAATTCCTAACAGCTGGTAAGATAGCTGGGATTTCTGGAAGTCCAAAACAACTGGAGGATCAAAGTTTGGGAACCACTGTTCTAGATACCCTCAAATAACTACCACTAAAGGACCTAATGTTTGGAGCCATTTTTAAAAAATCAAATGGAGGGTGTGTCTGACAGACAGCAAATGCATTAAAATTGCTGATGATGTGAGAATAAATAACCTTGACTTATTTTAGTTGTTAAATGAAGGCCAATCAAGACCAATCGATCAGGTTATTTGTCACATTTTGAAGGTTACTTTGACAGATGATATATTTTTGCCCAGGTAGCATGTGCTAAGAGTTTGCTTAGATTGGTCAAATGTTTATTCCCTTTTTATCAATGCTTTCTCTTTGTTCAAGGCTAATACGGCAGATAGGTGCCAAGGTGGCCAAGGTTATTGGAGGAAGGCTGAGTCATTTCACTTCTATTGCATACTACATCTAATTTAATCAACCTCAGAAACTCAGAAGCAAAAATCCCACAAACATATGGCAATATGTTGAAGGGTTGTTGTAGGTTTTTTCGGGCTATATGGCCATGGTCTAGAGGCATTCTCTCCTGACGTTTTGCCTGCATCTATGGCAAGCATCCTCAGAGGTAGTGAGGTCTGTTGGAACTAGGAAAAAGGGTTTATATATCTGTGGAATGACCAGGGTGGGACAAAGGAGTCTTGTCTGCTGGAACTAGGTGTGAATGTTTCAGCTGACCACCTTGATTAGCATATAATGGCCTGACAGTGCCTGGAGCAAACTTCTGTTGAGAGGTGATTAGATGCTCTTGTTTGTTTCCTCTCTGTTGTTGTGCTGTTGTAATTTTAGAGTTTTTTTAAATACTGGTAGCCAGATTTTGTTCATTTTCATTGTTTCCTTCTTTCTGTTGAAATTGTCCACATGCTTGTGTATTTCAATGGCTTCTCTGTGTAGTCTGACATGGTGGTTGTGAGAGTGGTCCATCATTTCTGTGTTCTCAAATAAAATGTTGTGTCCAGATTGGTTCATCAGGTGCTCTGCTATTCAAGAATATGTTGAAGGCTTTCATGGCCAGAATTACTGGGTTGTTGTAGGTTTTTTTGGGCTATATGGCCATGTTTTAGAGGCACTCTCTCCTGACGTTTTGCCTGCATCTATGGCAAGCATCCTCAGAGGTTGTGAGGTCACAACCTCTGAAAATGCTTGCCATAGATGCAGGTGAAATGTCAGGAGAGAATGCCTCTAGAACATGGCCACATAGCCCAAAAAAACCTACAGTAACCCATATGGTAATAATTTGAATTGCTAATGTATATTACAATATACATTAGTAATATGATTGCTCAATATTTGGTTTTATTTCTTCTTTTTCTGCCATTTTCATTTCCTCATCATCCAACCCTGGTTCACCATGTGTAAAAAAATCTACCAATTGAGACATGGAGCCCATGCAGCTGATGCATGTAAGAAAGTAAGCTGGATTTTATGAAATCTTGCACAAAATAAAACCTGTTAGTCTATAGACCATAAAACATTTCAGTGACCCTGAAAATCCATAGAGGAATCTAATAGCCCTTATGAGACTAACTGGAAGGAAAAAATGTTAGCATGAACTTTCATGGACACAGCTCACTTCAGCACATACATGGAGTGAAACCTATATGAGCATACATACATATGTGTGTGGGGGTGATTAGTAGTGGAAATGCAAAACATGTTCCAGTCTAATAATTGCCTAAAACATGTTCCAGTCTAATAATTGCCTTAAAGAGTAGTCATGAGAACAAATGTGGGAGAAAGTTTTTCACATAAGTGTAGATAATAGGCCTGGGTAACAACGGAAAAATTTGTTTCTAAAATCGATTCGTTTTTTGGGGTTTTTTGCGTTTCGATATTTAAAAGGATTCCGAAATTTTTCTTTTAAAAAGTTCGATATTTACGAAATTTCGTAAATGTAAAAAAATTTACGAAACATTAACGAAACAAATACGAAACAATAACGAATCGATTCGTTAATGGCGGACGCGACCACGCAATACGCTAAAAAACCTCCAAATGGGACAGGGGGAACTTCTAAAGCTTCCCTCTCCCTCTGTTGTTGACTGTTGGTGTGATATTATAATTTTTTTCACTAATTAAACAAAAAACAACTATAAAACTAGCCCCAGACATGCGGAAATAATAACGAAACGACCTCAAACCGATAACGAAACAAATACATAACGAATCCGAAGCATTTACAAAACGAATTTAAAAATTCATTTTGTTTTTAAGTTTCTCCAGAATGGTTCGTTATCGCTTCATTATAAAAATAATAATGAATTTTTAACGAATTACGAATTAACGAAACGAAACCGCCCAGCCCTAGTAGATAACATATGCGTAGCTGAGTAAATTTTTTGTAGCAAAGTGATTTTGGTGCAGGACCAATAAAATATTGTAAAGCTGATGCAGGGAGAATCATTTTGTTTGTATGGCTATGTGTCCCCCATAGCCATACACACAACATATATGCCAAGAAATCTTTGTTCAAACCACTGCTTAATGAATGGGATTGTGTGGATATATTCTAATTCAGCTGTTTCTGTTTGTTTCCAATATTTCTTTAATACTTTTTTGTTCAAGAACTGCTACTTGGAGGACCAGTGTAGAATGTCAACAATGTCCTGGAACAGGTTTTGGGGTATTTCCACTTCTGATTTCGTATTTGTGTCAATTTATCTTCTGGAATAAAGATTGAGTTGTTTGTTAAATGCTGGTATAGGATAGCACTCTAAACACTGAGCAAGTGAAGACATATCTCATGTTATGAGGTATGTGTTATATCATTGGATCCATAAATCTCATATAAATGAGAGGAATCTTTTCTGTTAAATCTCAGGCACTGGTTTCATTGGTTCAAGAAACCTTCTTGGTATTGATTTTAGACTGATTAAGTAGTAAATTCTTGCCCCTCCCCCCCCCCTTTGAAGATAAGAAGAACATTTGCGCTCATCCACTCTGCTGGAACTTCCCTTGTTCTCCAGAAATTCTCAAAGATTATTGCCAAAGGTTCTGACATTACTTCTACCAGTTCCTTTAACATCATTCAATAGAGTTAATTTTTTCCCTAGAGGCTTGAATTCATTTATCTAGCTATTTTAAACAAATTCAGGTCTCCAGGGCTAGGTTTGTTACATGATTTGCACTTGACTGAAATGCAGACACATTTTCCCCTAAAGAGTCCATAATTTCTTTTGTTTAGTGGGAGGTGAAAGCACTTGAAGGTTTATTTGTTGTTTCTTATTCCTCACTTTTATTCTCAACCCTTCTTCCAAGGAGCCCTTGACTGCAGACATGGTTCTTCCCTTCACACACACACACAAAATGTTTTCTAGGAAGAATCAAAATACCTTGATTGTCCCATATTCACCCTTCCAAATTATGGATCTGAATATGGATTTGCTGGTCCTAGTTTGCTGCTCTATACTAGTACACATATGGCAAGACTTTCAGCACTGGGCAAAGGTTTTGTTTTTAATTTCCAGCAGAGCTTTATATACTTTTATTTGGTTAAAGGTTTTTGAAGCAATTGTTAAATGTTGTCCTTGATTGGAAGGGGTTTTTGATCTATTTTGGCTGAGTATTATATCATCTGACAGTACTGTATTACTAATTTTGCAGGTGTCTGGGTTCCACAGTGATAACTGGTATTTTTTCCTCAATATAAAGCATCGCTTATCTCTGGTCCCATTTGGAGGCAAGGGAAGATGGCGAAGGTGGTACTATGGATTGGTAAGCAATTCTTGCCTCTTCAATCTTCATGGACATTCATTTATTTACTAAAGGCAAACTGCTGTTTCTACAGTTAATTTTGCATTTATAATAATAATAATAATAATAATAATAATAATAATAATAATGGTAATTCTAAACATTTATATTAGACATAGCTCAAATGAGTGACACGTCTTCATGATCAGACTACTTTTGATGGCTGCCTTTAGGATTAGAAAAGTATTGTTACTGGTTATTCATTTCCCAAGTGTTGAAAAGTTCAGGGAAAAAGTTGTTAATTTGCTCTGGAAGAGAAGAAGTTGATATTTTTGTAGTATTTCTTTTGTTTGCAAACATAGAAACAGAGTGTATTTTAAGCACACTGAAATGTTTTCTAGACAATACAGCAATGAATGCTTCATTAAAAATCCCAAAAGACCAACCATGCCCCAGGGATGCTTCCAGAAATCTCACCACTATCTCTGCCACTGGGTTCAAAAGGCCACATCTCCAAACCATTTGTCAGTTGCTTTAGCTCAAGGATGGGGAATCTGTAACCCTGCATCTGCTATTGGACTCCAACTGTCATCAGTCCCATCCAATATCATCACTAGTCAAGAGTGATAGGAGATATAGCTGAACTTCCAGCGGGCCACAGGTTTCTCTCTCTTACCTTAGTTCAAGGTATCACATTTCCCAAATTCTAATGGGCATTGCATTCCAAGGCTGCAACAGAAAAATCTAACACATTAAGAAACACCAATATTATTTTGCTGAACAACCACTGAGTAACATATTCTGCAAAATAGAAACAAAGTAATCACAATAGCTAAATGCATAGCAGTATTGTCCCCAGCTCAGATTGACCAGCAATTTGGTGTCTACCATTTGTCCTGATTGACTATCTTAAATCATTTGAAGCTGCCTGCTCAATAAGCATTTTTGGATTGTGCCCTTCCTTCTTCTGTGTTGTTTCCTTATGGCATAATGCTGTGGTTTGGATAATGTGCATTAAACATTAAGAGAGCTAATAAGTGGAAGAACCTATATAGAAGCAGTAGCTTTGACAGGATGCCCTGCTGTATGCTTGTTATCTGTTATTATAGTGTAAATTAATGGACTATTTATTTATTTATTTATTTTGAGCATTTATATCCCATCCTTCTGACCTCCGAAAAGGGACTCAGGATGGCATACAACAGGCAGACTAGCCATTGGACTGTTTACTATGATTCTGAGTGAGATATGCCTTGTTAATTAATTATATTCTGCTGTTTTGTTTGCTAGGTCTGACCATTTTGCTGCACCTGCAGCTGGGTAAGCATCTTGTTTATTTTCTCTGAGTTTAATTGAGATTTTTTGAAAATCATGTTGTATAGAAGAACCAGGTCTTAATGCAATAGACTATATGGTACCTAGTTATTAGCTGAAGGCTATCCAGTAGTGAAGTCTGATGGTTTCCATATCAAGGAGTTGGTATATCTATTCTGATTTTAATCTGAATTTTAAATAAATTACCAAGGTACTGAACCCTAATCAGAAAACAGGTTAAGCACCTTGTTTTTTTAAATGTTAGATTAAAATGTGGAGTGGATCCACCATTACATTTGTATGGAATGGTGAATATGGAATACTGAATATATGGATGTCAGAAGCCTCTAATGTTGCATGGTACTGTTTGGTTTCTTATTATATATCCCCCAAAGGAGTCAATGGCAACACTTCATTTTTCACTTCCCATGCACTTTGGAAATTTAACCAGCAGTATCTCAGAGCCCTCTCCCATTTCCACCTTTGAAAACTACTAGACTCTTTTTTTCTTTCTTGTCTTCCCACTTTTTGTAAGCTGCCCTTCTAAGAAACCCCCCATTTGGGACTTTGGACAACAACCCCTATGTCACCTTTAAAGTGTGTACCACAATTTCCTGATGCGAAATAAGTGTTCCATTTGCTTTTTGTGAGCTCCCCAATTTGGGACCTTGATTTGAAACCTGGCACTGCAAGTCACATACTTTGTTGCAATCGTTAATCTGAGTGAAGACCGCAGTCAAGAAATTGGAAGAAGTCTAGGACTCGGAAGAGCATTTATGAAGGAACTAGACAGAATCCTAAAGTGTAAAAATATATAATTGAACAATAAAGTTAAACGTTTCCATGTCATCATATTCACTATTTCTATATATGGTTGTGAAAATGTGAATAGGAAAAAATTAGCTCATTTGAGATGTAGTGCTGGAGAAGAGTACTGCAGATAGCATGGACATGGTGTCATGCAAGTTTTAGGTTACTTCTGCAACTTGCATGTATTCACTAGTGCTCCACTTTTGAAAATGTAAAGTCTTGTAGTTACTCAAATTTGTTTCCAGCTATAGTTAAAATATCAGGTGCCTTTGTACAGGGCCATAGCCAGAAAAAAAATTCGGGAGGGGTTGAAAATTTCGGGGGGGGGGTGTTGAAAATTTTGTGGGGGGGGGAGTTGAAACCTGCCTCCTAGCTCACACTGAAGCAAAGAGCACAGCAGTGGGCAGAGCAGCCTTCAATAGCCTGCAGCTCATCCCCTGTCAACCACCTCCACCAAGTCTGGCCTCCTTAATGAGAGCATTCAACACCCCCCCGCCTCAACTTGGTTGCTTTGCTACATCGGCTATTGCTGCAAGTAATGACAGTGTGAATAAATTGTCAATATTTGCTTGAGATAGTGCTTGCAGTTCTGGAAGGACTCTTATTTTTTTTTTGTGTCTCATAGACTTAGCATGGGGATTTGGTTAACCAGTTAAAATTCATGAGTAAACCAGGTATTTTTTTAACCTGAAAAATTTCAGGGGGGGGGGTTGAACCCCTAACCCTCCCCCCCCCCCCGGCTACAGGACTGCCTTTGTAGACAGAGAACAAAAGAAAGATGAAATAGACCAGTTTTTATATTATTTATATTATTGGACATTGTTTTTGTTTGGCTAGATAAGATTTAAAAAGTCAGCAAAAGTTGAGTTTCTAATTTTATTTATTTTATTTATTTCAAAGATTTTTACCCCGCCCTTCTCAACCCCTGGGCAGACTCAGGGCAGCTTACAATTGGCAATAATTCAGTGCCGCTAAGATGTTATCATTCAGTAGTTGTAGGGGGGGAAATCTAAAAAATATACAGTTTTATCTTGGTAGATAATAATGTTTCTCTAGATGTAAAATCTTGTCCCTGCATGCCTAAATTAGGTGGCTGCACTCATGCATCATCGTATACTTAACTCAGTACTTACATAAGTAACCTCTCCTGACCTGACCTCTGACCACTATTCCGATCACTGGTAGAATGACCCTTCTTCTCCCAATGGAGTTGATGCCTGGTAAAGTAGATTGGGAGCAAGTTACAATTGTTGCAATAGTTTCAAAATCATGACTAAGTAGCTTTTGTTAATACAAAACAGTTCCCGTTATGATTGATGCTGATGACTCAGCCAAGGTATAGAATTGTTCTTCAATTTCAAATGTCTTCATCAACGGTCAACATCCTGTAAGGATCAATTTACTTCTGGTAAATTGTTAAGTGTATCCTTGCTCAAGACAGAACATGAGAAAATATAGTCTGTAATTTGTATTAGTTCTTTTGGAGAGCTACACAACTAAACTGAGCAATCTTAGATTTCTTAAATCTAAATATGTTTTTTTTCTTCTATCCAGGCTCTGCTTACAAACTTCTGTGTTATTTCACTAACTGGTCTCAATACAGGCCAAATCCTGCCCAGTATTTCCCAGAGAATATTGATCCACATCTTTGCACACATTTGGCTTATGCCTTTGTTACTATGAAAAATAATCAGATAGCGCCTTATGAATGGAATGATGAAGAACTCTTTGTTCCATTCCAAGCACTAAAAAAGAGGTGAGAATTACTAAGATGCGTAAGTGGAACTTATCCAAAGTCCATACATAGAAAGTGCTCTGGATTTCTCTACATGATTGGTAGCAATTTGCTTCTGCTAGTCACTGGAGGAACTTTCTATATCTGTCTGTTTGACTGTCTGTCAATGTTACAACGTAAGAAAAGTCCATTGGGATCAAACACTAAAGTCCTGTCCAGTTTGGAATTCTGTTTCCAAAGTGGAGAAAAGTGTTTTCTTGGACTCTTGATCCCAAAATCCCTGACCCTGAATTGTATATCTTGAATCTTCCACTGTTCAGTTTTATCTGATGACCCCAGTTTCTAGTATTATGGGAAGACCAATACTTGGTTCTCACACAAACCCAAATTATACATATATGACAGAAAGACAGACACATTCTTTTTAGAAATAGCATTGATTAATTTCCCTTTATTTCCCAACTTTCCTGAAAAATACCATGCAATGTGGGTAAAATGTCAACAAAACTGAACAATAAAATCATTAAAAGAGCAAATTAATGTTTAATATATGTGAAAACGTTGAGGAGAGAGGAAAGTGTCAAAGGAGAGAATGGAGTCTGGTCCATCTTCTAGTCAAAGGTAATATTTAGTCAGACAGTCAATCACTGTTCTTTGGGAGATATATTTCCCAATTATGCACAACTGGGTTGGCAGAAATGGAAGCTTTTCTTCTATCTGAATTCATGGGAACAGTATAACTCTTGGATTTCTTCTAATGTCAAACACAGTATTTGGTGCCACACTACACATGTTACAAAGTTCTTGTGTGTTCCAGTCACTGATTAATGTGAATGACTTTTAGCATTAATGTAGACTGTACAGTTACATCTTATATTTCAGATACATGGTGCAAAAATATTCATATATTACAGACATGTTACAGGCAGAATTGTAATTATGCTGTTTCTCTTGTATCCCCTTGTTTTCTCATAGCAATCCTGATCTGGTTACATTGTTGTCAATTGGCGGATGGAATTTTGGCACTGAATTGTGAGTTTCCCCTCTATTCATTTTATGCTAGTGTCATTGTTGGTGAAATAATTTGGCAATCAGATTAGGTTTTAATTCAGAGTATTGGATTTTATAATAGTGAAACGCAGATTCATAGAGTTAGAAGGAAGAAGGGATATCTGATTCAACCCCTTGCCATGCAGGAATATAAAAATAAAGCACTCTGAGCATTAAAGTAGTTTGAAGATTTCTTATAATTGATAGTATCTAATGCATCTGTCTAAATACTAGTACAGTGGTCCAATTACTGGGGGGGGGGGGGGAATAATCAACTTTACAGAATTGTATATTAACATTATTTCTTGCAGCCATTAAGAACTGGTGTGCATATCATTTTGGTGATTTAAAAATCCCAATTGCTAATTCTTAATTGCTTTGGATTATTATGGATTGTTTTTCTTACATCTGATCCTAAAATATAATCATCTTCAATTGTATGTAGTAAAGGTTGGCTAAAGCAATATAACAGCACAATGCAGGGGTGATTTCAAAAGATACAATCCAACAAAATACTAAACACTTTCAGGTCCAAATGATTTCAAAGTGCCTCATCATCTCACTGAAATATATTTAACTTTGATTGGAGAGTGACCTAAAGGGAGCTACTGTATATACTGCCAGAAGACACATATTTAAGACTGGATTTCTCCATAGGTTCACCATTATGGTCTCCACACCCGAAAACCGGGAGACTTTCATCAAATCAGTGATTGCATACCTTCGTAAGTATGGATTTGATGGGATTGACCTAGACTTCGAATATCCAGGCTCTAGGGGAAGTCCCCCAGAGGACAAGGCTCGATTTACCTATTTGGTTCAGGTAATGATTGAGTACATAATTTACTTTATGTCAGCTACTCACAACCGTTATTCATATCATCTGCAAATATTATTACAGATGTGAATCTGCTTAAGTTTCTATTTTTTTAAGTGGGTTTAGAGGAACAGTAAAATATGTTTTTCTCCATTTGTGATGTTATGTAAGTACTTTGCATACACATGCATTTTGCTGTCCATCCACCTGTTTGAATTGTGCAATTATATTCACGCAAATGTGTTTCATTAACTTATATTTTGAAAATTTAAAATATTTTTGATAGTTTTAAATAAATATGTATTTTTGAAGAACATTTTAAATTATATATATATATATATATATCTCACAATAATAATAGAATATGCAACAAGTTTTTAAATGTTTTAAAAACTACACATCTACATTTAACCTACTACAACTACCAACACTACAACAAAGTACCTATTAAAATGCAGATCGTAAACACAAAAATAAAATGCATAAATAAGCACACTAACACAAAATGCAAATCTAACAGACAGAAAAAAAACAGAAACCACTAATTTGGTTTTAATCTTTATGATCTTAAGAATATTTTACAAAGATGATGATGATGATAATAATAATAATAATAATAATAATAATAATAATAATAATAATAATAACTTTATTTATACCCCGCCACCATCTCCCCAAGGGACTTGGAGCGGCTTACATGAGGCCAAGCCCAACATGTTAATGTTCTTAACATATAACCCTGAAAATAATCTGACATGTTTTGAGTATTTATTTGGCTTGTGTTAACATTGTTCTTCCACAGCTTTAGGAAACATTGTTTATTGTGGGTTTACATCTTTGTATATGTTTGTATATGCTGAGAACATGTAGCCCACCCTGAAATTATTTTTCTGGAACAAAGGTTGGTATACCTTTGTAAAATGAATAACAAATAAACAATTTTAAATTGATAATTAATTGAGGAGTATATTGATTAGCTCATATAATAATTGGAAGAGTGTTATTATTCACCATTTTTGTTTTGCTTTGCAGGAAATGAGAGATGCTTTTATAAAAGAAGGTGGGCAGCCAAGACTGTTGGTCACAGCTGCAGTGTCTGCTGGTGTAGAAACAATTAATGCTGGATATGAAATTGCTAACTTAGGGAAGTAAGTACAATTGTCAAATGTACTGTGACCCTCAGCAATAATCATATACGGTGTTTGTGCCCTCTCCAGTTTAGAAAAATTCTGACACATGAATACCCTTTGATTATAGAAAGGCCTCAAAATACGAATTTGCTAAACCTGGAAACATTCATTTCATTATTTTTGAAAGTATGTAAAACTGGCCTTTGGTTTTAATAAGATATATTTGGAATTTCCAAAGATATATTTCTATATCTGTGGTGCTCAGAATAAAATAGCTCCTTAAGACTCTAAACATTTTATTCTGGGGTGGACACCCTGATGGATAAAGCATCAAAAAATTGAATAAATATTTGTTTTTATCTAATTTAAAGGAAAATTGACACCTTTATTTCAATACATTCTAAGAACACACATTGGAAACAAGTGTATTTCAAAATAATGGACAAAAATAATTTTAAACACCATGTTACAGTTCTATACATACCAATATCTGATGCTAGGGTTGAACTGCACCTCTTTCTTAACTCAAAGGGTGAAACATGTGGTCCTTCGGGTGTTTTTGGATTCTGTCTCATGATTCTGCAATACTGACTGGTTTGAATTGATACAAGTAGCAGTCTGACAGCATCTGGAGAGCCTTCCTCATTCTAAAACACAGGCAAATCAGCATGTGTAAGATGTAAATTGATACCATATCTCACTGGTAGCATTTTAGGTCACTATACTGCACTACATTAGACAATGTAGTGCAGTATAGGATGAGCGATTGATTCCTAATTGATTTTTCTTTACTTGCATCAGGCTGTTTGATTTCATCAGTGTAATGACATATGACTTCCATGGTGACTGGGATTCCACCACCGGATGCAATAGCCCACTGTACGCAGGTTCTGAGTGGTGTGATGTTGATATTTTCAATTGTGTGAGTAAAGGATCCACTGATAAACTTCAGGTTTTTTTTTTAATCTAAAAAGATGAAAATATAGTTCAAATATTTCCCCCTGTGTTTTGGCAGAAATATGCTATGGAGTATTGGAGGGACCAAGGTGCTCCAGCGGAGAAGCTGCTCATGGGGTTCCCCACCTATGGACGTTCTTTAGGGCTTTGGAGCAGTGGTGAAGCAGGACTCTGTACATCAATCTCAGGGGCTGGTCCTGCAGGGCAATATACAGAAGAGGCTGGATATTGGGCTTACTTCGAGGTATGACAGAATGAAGCGTATGAACCAGTATGGCATAGTTGTTTGAGTATTGGACTAGGACTCTAGGGTTTAAACCCCTGCCCACCCATGGGAATCCACTGGGTAGATTTGGTCAAATCCTCTGAAAATATATTGCCATAAGCTAGACTTGACTTAAGCATATGAAAGCATGAACATTGAGAATGTGATATCCTAAATTGGAAATATATGTCCATGACAGACATTTGTAAGTTACTTTAAATTAGCTGAAGTCCCCCAGTAGTTACTATTGTAATACTGTTGCAATACAGGTTGAGTATCCAGAAATCTAAAATCCTCCAAAATCCAAAAATGATAACATGGGTAACTGAGAAAATGACACCTTTGCTTTCTGATGGTTCAGTGTATACAAACTTTGTTTCATGCACACAATTATTAAAGACTATTGTACATAAATTATCTTCAGCCTATGTGCATAAAGTGTATATGAAACACAAATGACTTTTATGTTTAGACTTGGTTGCCTTTTGAGATAGCTCATTGTGTATGTGTAAACATTCCAAAATCGGGTCGACCCTGAAATCTAAAATATTTCTGGTCCCAAGCATTTTGGAAACAGATATCCAACACTATAATATGTTTCAAAAGTAGCCATTGACCCCGCCCCCCCGCAAGTGAATGAGCCAAATTGCTGGTTTATGGTAGAAAAACACTCTTCTGTGCATGTCACAGTGAAGAATCAGCATTTCAATCATGTACTATTCCTCCTTTGAAATTTGATAGCACTATATTGCTAATAATTATTAGAATAACTAATCAATTACAACAATATTCAGAGTTGTATAATGCTTTTGGGAGCCCCCGATGGTGCAGTGGGTTAAAGCACTGAGCTGCTGAGCTTGTTGATTGAAAGGTCGCAGGTTCGATTCCGGGGAGCGGCGTGAGCTTCCGCTGTCAGCCCTAGCTTCTGCCAACCTAGCAGTTCGAAAACATGCAAATGTGAGTAGATCAATAGGTACCGCTCTGGCGGGAAGGTAACGGCGCTCCATGCAGTCATGCCGGCCACATGACCTTGGAGGTGTCTACGGACAATGCTGGCTCTTCGGCTTAGAAATGGAGATGAGCACCACACCCCAGAGTCAGACATGACTGGACTTAATGTCAGGGGACTACCTTTACCTTTTATAATGCTTTTATTAGGATGATAAAGTGTCACAAAAATATGTGAGCAGAATTTTTAATGAGGTTAGCTAGTATAAACATTCGTGGATGGTGTTATTTGTCATGATCTTTGACTAGTACCATTAATGCATAAACTGAGAAATACCATTGGTGCTTTTCAAGGTAAATCCTCAGTCTGGCAATAATATTTTACTCTTCTAATAGATTTGCGATTTCATAAAGGATGCTCAAGTGCGGTGGCTGGATGACCAGAAAGTCCCATATGCCTTTAAGAATAATGTATGGCTTACGTATGACAACATTTGTAGCTTCAGACACAAGGTAAGACTTTTGTGATTTTCAAGCCTTCCTTCTCATTTCTGTCATTAATAACCTTATCTCTGTATATAGCATTTAAAATGGACTTGCTTGGGCCACATGTCTCTACACCTGCAAACTGCTTCTCCATTTTTAGGGAATAAATACTTCTGGCAACACATTTTCTTAAAGGTACCATAGGAGCCAATGCCAGCTCTATTCTAATTCATATGTTTGGTAGGGTTGGTCCAGAAACTACCATTGTTCTGGATGTACAGGAGCTTAGCATGAGTAACTTTGAGTTGATGGATGGATGGCAGGAGTATACTTGTAAGATGCTCAGGGTCAATAGAGACAAGATCCAAAATAGACATTTGTTTGTAGGTTGGAAAGCAAACAGGTAACTGTTGAGGGTTGTCCAAGACTGACAAAAGGTTCTTCTAGACTGCTGATTTGTGCCAGTTAGTAATCAACCATTTAATGCTGCTTCTTGACAGTTCTTGAGGCTTTTTGTTACCTTTTCCTGCTTCCTTGTCCAAATCTTCAAGCCACATCCTAGGGTCCTTTGTGGACATGCCTGTAATGTGGTTTGTGATTGTGGAGGCAGATATGCTTAATTCCCTCATCCCTCTTCTTTGCTCTTTCAGCCACTCTTTCTGTAGTGGCTTTGAGTCATGGCACTCAAAGTACATTTATTGTACAATACAGAAGCTACCCATGTTGGCTGTGATAGGATGATCTCTTGTTTTTACCACATGAAATGCCAAGCTGAGATACTCTTAGGTCTGTAGACAGTAGAAAACAATCATTTACATGTTATTACTCAACTGTACAAAAGTGTTCCTTATGTCAACCATGTATGCCAGTAAGTATCTGATGCAATGTAGATATTCACATTTGACAAATCAGTGGGAGATGCTAACTAAAACACTTTTCAAATTGTTTTTTTCAAAGGCAAAGTACCTGAAGGAGAACAATTTTGGAGGTGCCATGGTTTGGGCCATTGATTTGGATGACTTTCTTGGTACATTTTGTAACCAAGGAAAATACCCTTTGATTAGTGAACTGAAGAGATTGCTTGAAACAAATGGTAAGAGGACAAAACAGAGAGCAATATTTTAAATAATTTGGAAAAACAAGCGGTAATAGGATACTCATTTTCCTGGGATTGTTTTCAGCTGAACTTAGCAGGGCTTCTTTATTAATGGCCAACCAACCTGATCCTACTATTACACAGAGTGACACTGTTTCAAGGCAGTAGATTTTTGGTGTCATGGCGAGTCAGCAAATAGTTTGTTATTACTGCATCTAGAATTTGGTCTCTTATTTGTTCACACTAGGGCAGAACAAAAAATCCTGAAGTTAATACTTGTAGACTTATTGCAAGAGAGGTATACCTACTATACTCAGCCTCCATTTTTTGGAATCTGATACAGGCACTCTTATTGCTCCGTCCTTATCTTTGCTTTTGTAGGTGTTCTAAGACAAGCCTAGTGGGGGGGGGGGGGCAAGGAGAGTGAAGTAATTGCTGTTTGACCTCTCTGATCCCCTGTATCTCCTGTGTCCTTAGACTGGGGAAGGTGTACACCATAATCTGCTGACAAAACCACCTACAATATCACTTGGAACAGCGATATGAATTTAAATACCTCCTAGTGCCTCTCAAATTATTTTAATTGGTCAAATCTGGAGGAAAACTGTTGAACATGTAGAAGTAAAAACTACAAATGAAATTTTAGATAAATTTCAGGCTGCCATGTCTCTCTCTCTCTGAGTATGCATACACATCTCTATATGTTCCCCAGCATTCACTCACCCCTCCCCAAAGTGAGCAGAGAAAAAAATGATATAATTAGCATTAGTACATATTTTAAAATGCTGTTTAATTTTGCTGTAGATCCCATTGTACCAAACTGCCCTGATGCAGTTGATCCTCCGACCGATCCTTCAACTGATCCTCCAACCGATCCATCAACTGATCCTCCAACAGATCCTTCAACCGACCCTCCAATCGATCCTCCAGTTACTCCTCCAGTGGATTCAGATCCATCATTTTGTGTTGGAAAGGTTGATGGGATCCATGCAGATCCCAAAGACAGTGGAAAATTCTATATGTGTGTTGGAGACCGCACTTATCACCTGAGTTGTGCACCTGACCTAGTCTTTAATGACAGCTGCAAGTGCTGTGACTATCCACATACCATTAAAAATTAAATGACAACAACTAGGCTCATTTACTGTGGATTTCTCTTGCCCTTCTCACAAAAGCAGAAATGCTGTTAAGATAAAAGGAAAAGCCCAACAAATTATTGGTTATCATTCACTCATTGTCAGAGCCCAACTTTTGAGATGCTTGAAAAATAATAAAAATAATGGAATATTATTAAAAATGTGCAATGTTTCTCTTAGCTGAATGTAAGATTTCACAAAGAAGTGCACACAAAGAAGCTTTTGAAAAGTAAGTGGTAATCCATCTGCATAACTCACATAAACACCGTTCAGGTTTCTGTCTCTGCCTCAAAGGAAGTGTTGGGGAGCCTAAGTTAACCCTATGACCTTCATGAGATTTCCATAATTTGACAGGCGGTTTGAGGACAAACACACTAACACATACTGTCCCTTATGTGCATTCAGTGTCATGTCTGAAAGAGCCTTTGTACAGTAAAGCATGTCTAGGGTTAGTCTACAAAACTGGGCAACTCTCTTTATTCAAGTCTTCCTCTGCTTGTGTGGACACACATTTGGGATTTCTGATGTTATATCAAATGAGCATAGGTCTTAACTGGAAGATTTTTTTTAACCTGCCACCCAAAGGGAAACAAAGGGGAAGCCACCCTAACTTCCTTAGGGAGGGAATTTGAAAGTGTGGCAGCAGCCACAGAGAAGGTCTTCTTCCATGTTCCTATCACCGGTGTCTGTGAAGATGCTGAGATAGGAAGAAGTGCCTTCTCTTCAGATTTTGAAACTTGGGCAGGCTCATATGGGAAGATATGGTCCTTCAGAGAGCCTGGACCTGAGTGGGGTAGGGCTTTATAGGTCAAAACCAGCATTTTGAATTGTGCCCAGAAATAAACTGACAGCCATGGGACTGTTGCAACAAAGGCTCCCTGTAGCCAGCGCCCGTTAGTAATCTGGATCAAACTCTTTTGACCAGTTTAAGTTTTTGAACACTCTTCAAAAGAAGTCCCATTTGGCATGCAGTACAGTACTCCAACTGGGATATAACAAAGGCATGTAACATTGTAGCTATGTAAGGCATCCAAGGAACAGGAAGACTCAGGTTTCTGCAGTGGTCAGGAAAGCACAAGCCTGAGCATCTAAGGTCAGAGCTGAGTGCAGAAATATACCCAAGTTGTGTACCTGCATTTTCAGAGGGAGTATAACCCAATCCACACACACACACACACACAAACACACACACACACAAGGGTGAAATTATTTATTGAATACGCTTCTATCCCACCCTTCTCTCCACAAGGGGGGCTCAGGGAGGCCTCACATAGGCACCAGCGATGCTTACAACATATACATTATAAGAATAACAGTAAAACAATAAAACATTTTAAAATATTGTACAAATTAACCAATAAATTCATTTAACAATAATATTAGCATGTCAGTAAAACCAAAAATCAAGCCGGGGAATCCAATATCTCAAACCCAAAGTTCCTTTTCCTATTGTCACTATCATCTAGTCAAACGCCTGGCCCCAGAGCCAAGTCTTCAGTTGTCTTCTAAAGGACAGGAGGGAGGTGGCCAACCTGATGTCCTTAGGGAGGAAGTTCCACAGACAGGGGGCCACTGCCGAGAAGGCCCTGTCTCTCGTCCCCACCAACCGCGTTTGCAATAGTGGTGGGATCGAGAGCAGGGCCTCTCCTGACGATCTTAAGCTTCGTGATTGTTCATAGCAGGAGATACGTTTGGACAAGTAATCTGGGCCAGAACTGTTCAGGGCTTTAAAGGTTAAAACCAGCACTTTGAATTGTGCCCGGAAGCTAATCGGCAGCCAGTGGAGCTGGCGCAACAAATGAGTAGTGCGCTCCCTGTACGCTGCTCCAGTTAACAACTTGGCTGCTGATCGTTGGACTAATTGAAGCTTCTGAGAAGTTTTCAAATGCAGCCCCACACAGAGAGCGTTGCAGTAGTCTATTCGGGATGTAACTAGAGGGTGGACCACCATGGCCAATCAGAAATCTTTCAGATTGACTCTGATTTACAGTAACACTACAACAGGGGTTTTCTTGGTAAGGTTTATTCAAAGGAGATTTGTCATTGTCTTCCTTTTAGGATGAGACTGTGGCTTTTATGGCTGAGCAGGGACACGGACCCTGGTCTCCTGCCAGAGCCAACCTCTTCACACAGGGCAAAATAACCCTGCTTTGCCACTTGGACAGGGTCTACTGAGCACCATAGATGGCCCCACCCACATTCCTACCAATTGAGCTACCTACACTTTCCTCCTCTTTTCCCCATATGATGGGGGAAAGGATGGTGGGGCAATGTGCACTGTCTCCCTTTTCCCCATCTGATGGGGACAGGGACACGGTGCTAATGTACCTTCTTCCATCTCCACCATATTATGGGGGAAGGAAGGAGGGCGTGCCACATGCCTTCCCTTTTACTGGTGACTGCTGGTGAAGTGGCATGGCCTGAGAGGGCCGTGTGAAGAGGTCAGCACTCAAACCACTGGGCCACATGGATTTAATACACTGTTTAGTTTAGCTCTCTGGCAAAAACAAAAACACCCCAATTACGTGGCATTTTATCCTTTTCTAAACTGGAATTTCAACCGATGAGTATGCAAACCCCCATGCTTGACTGCAAAACCGTCCTCTTTCACAGTGCGTAGGAGATCATTTCAGTTATTGTATAACATGTTTACTGAAATAGTTTTCAATGATGTGGAAATAATCTCCAGTCTAGGAATAACGGATTTGGAAATACCTCTTCCTTTGGTGTTTCACAACACAGACATAAATGAATATCTTATGCACATCAGTTCCCAAAGATCAAGAATCCAGCCTTGAATACAATAGGGCCTTTTGTGTTTTCCTGGAATGAAGATGGGGAAAGAACTTGTTCTACTTGCCACCATTCATGTTAGGAAGCTAGAAACCTGAAAGGTCATCTTGACTCAGGTTTGAATTTGCAGATACATATGATATGACTAATTCATCACCCATGTGACTTTTTGAGCACAAATTGCCATAGGGATCCATATGGAATCTGTTTTACAACTAAACTAGCTGCCACAGTTGTTGCTGAAATGCATAATATGTGGCAGATGCTTGCAGTGTTGCAGCCCTTCCTTTAAAAGGCATTGTTTACATTAACCCATTAACAAAAATCATTGTAGCCTGGAACAAATGGGAAAGTGATTGGAATATGTACAGTCTTAGGGTGCATTCACACAGTCAAAATAATGTAATTTGACACTACTTGAACTGCCATGCCTCAATCCTATGGAATTATGGGAGCTGAAGTTTTACAAGATCTTTAGCCTTCTATGCTTCATCAAACTAAAACTCCAAGGATTCCTTAGCATGGAGGCATGGTAGTTCAAGTGACATTAAAAGTATTAACTATGCAGTGTAAATGAACACTGGGTCTTGCTTGGGTGCCTAACTCCATCCTATTTTCCCTATTTGGCCAGAAAGAGAATGTTCTGATGCTTGGAAGCTGCTTTCTGGGGGTGGGACATATAGGGAACTGCATTACACCTGCCTATACTGTTAGGGCATGTAAATAAATCAGTTGGTGAGTTTGTTAATTGAAAACTCAAAGCACGAAGCTGATTGGTTGGGGTATGCTCAGGAGACTAGCTGAGCCTGGGAGTTTTACCACAGTTAGATTTTTGGGCTTTAGCTGTGCATGAGCTAGCAGAGAGACAGTTTGAGTTCTTGCTTCATGAGCTGCTGGAAGAAGATCTCAAAGGACATTGTGTGAGTCAGTGCAACTGTTCTCGTGATGGTATATATGTTGCTCTGCATTACAAAGAGTAAACTTTTTTACTGATCATCTGCATGGCATATTTTCTTTCTCTGGCAAGACAGTGTGTGGACCGGTAAAAATGTGAACTAGGTGTGATTGTCATTTTGCTACATATACAGTGTAGGATTTGGGACTTTATGCTTGAAAACAGCTCAGATAACATAATTACAGAGAGACACATTTGGAAGTTGGCATGTGCAACAATTTCTGCACAGCTTCATCCTTCAAAATAGGCTCATTTTAGATCTTGGGGCACACACTTCTTCCTGTAATAAATTAGGTTTGAAACTGTTCAATTTGCTTTTTTTTAGTAAATAAATATGGAAAAAATCCTTGATTTATGAGGGGAAAATCTATGTTAGTTGAGGCCTAGAAAAGGCTTCATTCATAGATCACATTGCAAAGGCTGGTTGCTGCAGTGAATGCCATCTGTATTTTGGAGGTTTAAAAGATAAACAGAGGGTTAGCAGAAGCAAAGAGGAAGGATATCTTATGTCTATAAAATCCACACAAAAGGCAGTTTCCGTATGTGTGGCTTTACTGAATGATTGCAGGACAAACTGTATTTATTAAAATTCTCACAACATGTATGATTTCTACTTTACTGAAGATTAAAGTTAAGAATTACCCTTGACAGTTGAAGACCGTTAGATAAGATAATGCTTGAATATATTTGAATAGTGTGACCACACAGAACAATGCCATGCCTATGGGTGCAAACCTCTGAAGCTTAGTTTATTATACTTAAATTGTGAGAAAATTGACAAATCACTCTCTTTTTGTGTGGAGGTGTGGGATGGTCTCTTCTAGACTGAAGGGAAGGGGTTTTGTTGTCATCTGATGTGGCAAAGGGTCATACCTAGTTTTCAGATTTGTGTCCTGAGATCTCAGCGTCTGGGCTCGTCCTGACATGACAGAATTAGTATATCAACATATCTGCTGACAGTTTTTTTTCTAATGAGGTTAATCCCATGTCATCTGTCTTGACTTTTTCCTTTGCCAGAGGCATTGCTTCAGAATATTGACAGCTCCTTCCTGAAAGAGGAAAATGCAGGGCGTGGACTGTCTGGAAACACAATTTATACCGAGGTCGGGATGGACGAAGGCATTCTGGCTCATGTGACAGAGGAACAACACTTCAGAGAGAGCTGTGCTGTTTGAACTGTAAGATTTTGGCAGGCCTGTGGTAACATTAAGACCCATGGCAAAATAGCTTTATTTACTTTCTTGAATCTAATTCTGAATGGGTGAAGGGAGTGGCTCTGAGGAGAAGATTCAGATCATGGAGAATGTAGCTAGAAGTAGCATCTGTTGCTTTGAATGAGAATGGATGGAAGTATTAATTCTAGAGATGCTAGAGTAAGGCATTCAGGGTTCATCATGCAAACAATGTGAAGGGAGATACGCACACACATAAGGTGGGACTCATAAAGAGGCATTTCTTTTGTACATTGGTATAAAACCAAAATTTGAATGAACCAATACTTAGAAAAAGATCCCTGCAGACTCATGTAGATATATTCACATATATGAGTCACTATTGCAGAATCATCCTCTGAATTCACCAAAGTTTTGCACTTTATACAGGTGAAAAATGTTTCTATGCAGCAAGGGGAACTAAAGAATATTAGCACAATTCCTCTATCATTTGTGAGAGTGTAGGGCATTTAGGAAATTTGCATAAGATTTGCATCCACTTATATGTTTTCTCATTCACCCCTCCCCCTTCTGTCTAGGTGTCAATATGAGGATGATACTGTGGACAGGTGAGTAACTTGAATTATTTTTCCCATTGCTCGAGAGCAGTACGTGTGAAAAAAAATCTTGGGGTCCTCGTGGACAACAAGTTAAACATGAACCAACAATGTGATGCAGCGGCAAAAAAAGCCAATGGGATTTTGGCCTGCATCAATAGGAGTATACTGTCTAGATACAAGCAGTGATTCTCAACCTAGGGTCCCCAGATGTTTCTGGCCTACAATTCCCAGAAATCCCAGCCAGTTTACCAGCTGTTAGGATTTCTGGGAGTTGAAGGCCAAAAACATCTGGGGACCCCAGGTTGAGAACCACTGAGATACAAGGAAGTCATGCTACCCCTCTATTCTGCCTTGGTTAGACCACACCTGGAATATTGTGTCCAATTCTGGGCACCACAAATGAAGAGAGATATTGACAAGCTGGAATGTGTCCAGAAGAGGGCAACTAAAATGATCAAGGGTCTGGAGAACAAGCCCTATGAGGAGTGGTTTAAAGAGCTGGGCATGTTTAGCCTGAAGAAGAGATGGCTGAGAGGATACATGATAGCCATGTATAAATACGTGAGAGGAAGTCATAGGGAGGAGGGAGCAAGCTTGTTTTCTGCTGCCCTGGAGACTAGGATGCAGAACAATGGCTTCAAACTACAAGAAAGGAGATTCCATCTGAACATTAGGAAGAACTTCCTGACTGTGAGAGCTGTTCAGCAGTGGAACTCTCTGCCCTGGAGTTGAAGGCCAAAACATCTGGGGATCCACAGGTTGAGAACTACTGCTTTAATGAAATAATGCCATCACCGTAGTTGTGTGTTTGTGCCTGAAAGTCTCCTGACACCCCCATGAATTTATGACACCCCAATGAATTTCATAGGGTTTCATAGGCAAAGGGTGGTTTTGCCAGGTCCTTCCCCTAAAATATAGCCTGTAGCACTTGGTATTTGTAACCAAGGGTGATCCTGCTTAGCTTCCAAGTTTAGATGGAAGCTGGTTCTAGAAAGCATTCAGTTGCTCCCCCATGACTCACAACTTCTTTTATAGCATCATAGTTAGTCAATTAAAGTGTGTGTCTTCTCTCAGTGTTTTGCATCAGACACAAAATGCTTGAAATCTGTTTCCTTTATTGAATATGTCTTTTTATTTGCTTTCCAGGGCTCACCATTTTGCTGAATCTGCAGTTTGGTATGAACATTTCTTTTGTCAAGCCTAGAACAGTCGACTCAGTTCATAGCTTGGTTTTTGGTGAAGTCCAGGCAAAACTTATGTCCATTCTGACCCGAGTAAAACTGAAGGCACAGCTTTGACTTATGGCAACTCTAAAATGTGGTTTCTTGGCAAGATTTATTCAGAGGATGTTTCATTCTCTTCTTCTGAGTCTGAAAAGATATAACTTGCCCAAAACCACCCAGTTAATTTCCATAGCTATGCAGAGATCTGAACCTTTCCATCTCTGAATTCTTGTCCATATCCTAATCCAACACTCAAACCGGTATGCCACTCTGGCTCTCTGGCATGGCACAACTCTGCTGCCAGACAAGTTTAACTCCATTGTTTTCATTTTTTTTTTGTCGTGCCAGGATTGATTTGAGAAACTACAAGTCACTTCTGTTTTCAAATGAGTTACTGCTAGAGAAGGCAGGAGATATAAGAAGCTTCTGGAACATGGCCATACAGCCCAGATAACTCACAGCAGCCCAGATATAAGAAGCTTTTCCACAGCTCACTCATACCAAATGGCCAAATGTATCCCTTCCTCAAGAAGTCTGCCATTCTTAATTGTCAATTGACATCTTTTCCCATAACCGCCAGCGAAATGTGCTGGGAATAATCAGTTTTAGAAAAAGTTTTATTTTATGGTCATGTTTCCTGGAGGAATTTTGCCAGTTAGAGTCCTAAACAGGGACTTTAAACAGCAGTAAAAATCAAAATAGAAAAATGGAAAGGGTTGAAGGCTGTTGAATATGTACTTTTATGAGGCATTGTGTCATAGAAATATATACAAAAACTGTCCACATTTTTTCCAGATATCTTGATTTTTCTAGATTGTAGCTAAAGAATTACATATGCCCTTTTGGGGGGAAATGTATTTGCAATGACATAGTAGCTACTTAAAAGCTTCATTTTTTAACATTACAAAGACTCTTTCATTTGGTATCACCAAATACAACAAGAATAAAATAGTTTTCATCATGTATATGTAAAATAAAATGTAGCCTTTTGGAGGTTTTGTCCGAAGTGTTTTATGTTCTTTATATCACATATTTTCCCAATTCTCTGAATATGGCAGCACTGTTTGCTGACTCTGAACCCTTTATTTGGTCTGGATGTGGAATTTCTGCCTTGAAGGGCAATAAATCTAATGATGAGCTGGCCTTGTCCTTTCCCATCCTCACCTCTGCTTTCTCTTTCCAGGTTCTGCCAACAAACTTGTGTGTTATGTCACCAACTGGGATCAGTACAGGGCAGAACCAGCCAAATTCACACCAGAAAATATAGACCCATTCCTGTGCACCCATGTGATCTTTGCCTTTGCTGGGATGAACAACAATGAAATCACCACTAGAGAATGGAATGATGAAACACTCTACAAACAGCTCAATGCCTTAAAGCAAAGGCAAGTAACAATACATAAATGCAACAGAAAATGCAGTTCTTTTGTGATCTTCTGTGTGCTTGTCTCTTCTCCCCTAAAAATGTTTACCTAGCTAACATGTGTAGGTGACAGCAGTGAAACATCTGTATAACCTTCATAAATAGAGTTCATCAATGCTTTAAGACAGCTGTTCCTCAAATAGCTCTCCAGATGTGTTGGATCATGCCTCGCCAGCATTCCTAGCCACCACAGCTGTGATAGATGATGGAGATGCTCAGAGCTGTCTTATAATACGGTGATAGTTCCTGGACCACTACTATCTTTCATGGGTTTCCAGCAAAGAAAAAAAGTATTGTAGCCTATGGGGTCAAATACAGCTTTGATCCCTAGCACAGTGTAGAAAAAAATAGTTGTAAGTTGCTTATATCAGATTGCTCATATATCTGAGGTCTTAATGCAACTTGGTACTACATCTGAATAAGTGGTTTTACGTCTTTGAAGGCTAATGCAGAAATAGAAACCGCTTAAGTCTTAAAATTGCTCCATATTCCTTTTTTCTGCTCCTTTCTCCTTCCTTCCTCATTTTCATGTGACATATCTAGTCTAACATGTCAGATAGTCTAACTTGTCTAACATATCAAGATGGAATCAGATTGAGGAAAGCTTTTTTTCTTTCTTTAATCTATGGCCCCTTCCACACACAGCTGTATACAATCCACATTGAACTGAATTATAGGGCAGTGTGGACTCAGATAATCCAGTTCAAAGCAGATATTGTAGATTATCTGCCTTTATATTCTGGGTTATATATCTGTGTTTATTTTGTGTCAAAAGCATTGCACAAGCTAAGCAATGCTTTTGGGTTGGAAAGATTAGCCGTTTACAAGAAACGTTGCCCAGGGGATGCCAGACTGTATTTAGTCAGTCTTTTCATGTGTGGAAGGGCCCTATATTCAGCAGTTCTTCCAGAGTGGTACCCAGGATGGTCTATAACATAAATTAACACATAATATAGCTAAAAAGCACAGAATAGTCATAGAAAGAGGAAACCAGCATATAAAGAAGCACTGTCTTAAGATATGAGCTTTCAGATGCCATGGAGTGCATCTGCACTGTAGAATTAATGCAGTTTGATGCAACTTTAACTGTCATGACTCAGTCCTATGGAATCATGGGATTTGTAGTTTGATGGAGTATCAGCACTCTTTGGCAAAGAAAACTAAATACCTTGTAAAACTACAGCTCCCATGAGTCCTTAGCACTGTGACATGACAATTAAAGTGGTGTCACATTGCATTATTTCCACAATATAGATGCAGTCTAGGAGAAAAGTACTTGCACAAGATAGTTTGTGAGTTATTAAAAGGAAAAGATCCTTCTTTTTTCTAGCGTAAAGCTACCAGGGTGCTCAAGAAGTGGGAGATACCTTTGAGTTTATGAATGTTCATGATTCTGGACTAATTTTATACTACTTGAGTATTTCCCAAAGGTTGCTTGGTTCTGGTAGAATCATAGAATAGTAGAGTAGGAAGAGATCACATGGGCCATCTAATCCAACCCCCTGCCATGCAGGAAAAGTACAATCAAAATATCCCTGACAGATGGCCATCCAGCCTCTATTTAAAAGTTTCCAAGGAAGGAGCTTCCACAACACTCTGAGTCAGAGTGTTCCACTGTTGAACAGCTCTTGGCATGTTTAGCCTGAAGAAGAGAAGGCTGAAAGGAGACATGATAGCCATGTATAAATATGTGAGAGGAAGTCACAGGGAGGAGGGAGCAAGCTTGTTTTCTGCTTCCCTGGAGACTAGGACACGGAACAATGGATTCAAACTACAAGAAAGGAGATTCCATCTGAACATTAGGAAGAACTTCCTGACTGTGAGAGCTGTTCAGCAGTGGAACTCTCTGCCCTGGAGTGTGGTGGAGGCTCCTTCTTTGGAGGCTTTTAAACAGAGGCTGGATGGCCATCTGTCAGGGGTGCTTTGAATGCAATATTCTTGCTTCTTGGCAGGGGGTTGGACTGGATGGCCCATGAGGTCTCTTCCAACTCTATGATTCAATGATTCCAGTCAAGAAGTTCTTCCCAATGTTCAGGTGGAATCTCCTTTCCTGTAATTTGAACTCATTGCTCCTAGTCCTAGTTTCAAAGGCAGCAGGAAACAAGTCTGCTCCCTCTTCCTCATGACACCTTTTCACATATTTATACATGGCTATCATGTCTCCTCTCAACCTTCTCTTCTGCAAGCTAAACATACCCAGTTCTTTAAGATGCTCCTCATAGGGTATGGTCTCCAGTCCTTTGATCATTTTAGTTACCCTCCTCTGGACACCTTCCAGCTTGTCAATATCTTTTTTGAACTGTGGTGCCCAGACACTGTATTCCAGGTGGCTGCTAACATTATTCAAAGAGAAAGTGATCATGGGGTGTGGGTGGGAAGAATCTCCCCCCCCCCCCAAGGGATAGAATAATTTCATCAATTTTTCAAGGTCCATGCATATTTAAGTATTAACCCACTTTTTTTCCTTTTCTTATTTTGTAGAAACAATAAGCTACTCACGTTGCTGGCTGTTGGAGGTGGAACATTTGAGAATCAGAAGTGAGAAATTTATCTATTCTATAGAAATACTCTGTGTAAGGACTATATTTCTCAGTTACAGAATGGTCCTAAGGAGGCCTGGCTCTGCCATTAGGATGAACGAGGAGAGCGGCTAAGCCTGCAACTTTGGAGTGTTGATTACTGTTTCTTCGCTTGTGAAAAATTAGGAGACACACCTGTGGAATTTCTTGCTTAACATGCCAATATTAAGTGCCAAACTTTATGAGAGGTTATCTTTTGCAATGCAATTTCTTCAGAGCTTTATGACTGAGAAATTACATATGCAAATGAAACCTCTGTTCATGTCTTATGTTTCCATGATCAACAACTAAGCAAGCTAAATTACCAAATATGGAGAAGAAAGTTCATGCTAGGTCAACTAGGCATCACTTTTAAAACCAGAACTGACTACTTTATGTAGTTTGATATTAACTTCTCATGTTGGGGTCACTTTGTGCCTTGGCAAAATGAATGGAGTAGGTAAGTGGCTGCCTTATATTGCCCTGCCCCTGACAACAACATGGGACAATGTCTCAGCTAAGTTTGATCCTGAAATGGAATGACCAAAGGACAGCGGTCAAAAGGCACTTTTGTGTCATTTGTGTTACTTGCCTTAGAGGTTTGTTTAAGCCCTCCAAAAACTTTGCAGATATATATTTTGGGGGGTTGTTTTGACAGCAGAAGGGACCCAGAATGAGATGGTCTTGGAGGGAGGCTCTGATTGTGTAAGTTATGCAGGGTCAGTCTAGGTTCTTACTTGGATGGGAGACCATCAACAAATACCAGGTGCTGTACTAATTATTATAGAGCACTGGTTCTCAACCTGTGGGTTCCCAGATGTTTTGTCCTTCAACTCCCAGAAATCCTAACAACTGGTAAACTGGCTGGGATTTCTGGGAGTTGTAGGCCAAAACACCTGGGGACCCACAGATCGAGAACCACTGTAATAAAGGAAGGAAATGACAAACTACACCTGAGGATTCCTTCTCAAAGGGATCCTTATAAAATTATTGGACTTGCCATGATTGGAAAGATGACTCAAAGCAATTATAAGTCTTCCCATCCCCATTGCATCCATCTCCTTCCGCTCCCCCCGCCCCCCACCACCATTGGAACAATCAAATGAATCAGAAAGAAGACAGTTCTTAATAAGAAAACATTTTTGGTGCAAATTCACATCATTCCACAACCTCGGAGGTTTCCAGATCAGCTTTTTCATGATGATCTGTAAAACTAAAGAGTAAATTGTGTGCTGATTTAAAAAAATAAAATCTCAGGTCTTTGTCCCCTCACTAATGTATTTTTTCCAGGTTCACCACCATGGTATCATCTCAGGCAAATCGTCAGGCATTCGCCAAAACAACAATAAGCTTTCTTCGCAAGCATGGTTTTGATGGTCTTGATCTTGATTGGGAATATCCAGGTTCCAAAGGTAGCCCTCCAGCAGACAAGCATCATTTCACCCTCTTGACTCAGGTCAGAAATAACACATTGCATTAAAGCTTCAGTAGCGGGTGTTGAAAAATTGTTTTTTTCCCCCCCAAACAAGAATGCATTTTTATCGCAACAGAATCAGCTAATGTCTTTCTGGCAGCAAAAGGCACCTCTGTTCTCCCCACTAATGTTCATTTTGACCTCTCAGGCACAAAATGTTCAAAAACACATCTCCCTGTCTTCTTGACAAGAAAAATACAACAATAATAAGCCAAGTCCTTGCTGTCCTTGCATGACACCCACTTTCTGCTACCTGAGACAGCCATTTTATCCTCCTGGGCCCTGTGCAGAGTTAGTACAATTCCCGACTTAGGTCTGACCCCAGATTCTAGATGTAGCCTTGCAATGTATCCGGAAACAGACAGACTTACAGAATGGAGAACAGCATACATTTAAGGATGAGGCCTCCATATAGCAAGATAAGCTTTTACTTTAAGATGAAGGATAGCATTGAGATCCCAGCCCTTTATATTTTGCAAACACTGGACACTAATATGGCAATCCTCTATGTTCCTCAAAACCAATTGCAATAGGGTTACATCCATCTCTTGAAACCTGTATTTCTATTGAATATGAGGCTTGCTTTTCCCCCAAAGTGGACATGTATAATCTTTCTTGGGGAAATGCTATGAGAAAGAGAAAAAGAAATAAAATATTAGCAGCAATAATTATGCTATATCTATACTAAATGTATAGATATACATTTCCTCCATTCAGCTAAATTTCAAATATATATATGCAACTAACTCTGGGTATGTGTTTGTCATTCTTTTATTTTGGGATACAAATTTCCAGTCAAAAAACATCAGCTTTCCTTTCAAATGTGTCTTTTTACACAACTGTTGATAGGTTGGTTGGGCAAAGCTTTCCTATATACCTGTAGATACAGGGATTTCAGGAGGGGTTGATTGCATGACAAAACCAGCCGTATTGGGATGTCCTTTTTTATTCAACGACAACACTGCAGGAGTCTCATCTTCTTTGGCATCTTCTCCCCTTAACTATAGATGAATGCAACATTGACTATTTCTGTTCTTTACATTTGAAGGATCTGGTAGCGGCTTTCAAAGAAGAGGGGCAAAGAACAGGTCGTCCACGGCTGCTCCTTTCTGCAGCAGTATCGGCCAGCAAAAGCACCATGGATGCTGGATATGAAGTTGCAGCCCTGGGGCAGTAAGTTACATGATTTCTGCTTGTGCCCCATTGATTTCTCTGCAGAACATAAGCTCCCTGTGATTCAGTGATTTTAACTGATACTTGCTAATGCAGGACTTTTGTAAGGTGCAGATGTCTGTTAGCAGAATGTTCATTTCTGCCCTTTTCCTTAGTCCCATTCAAACATTTGTGTATTTGTATTTCCTCTTGTTATTATAGCCCACCTTTTTCCCAAGATGAGTGAGCTTTAGCAAGTCACACTGACAACCTCAGAGTTTTAAGTCCAGATAAATGATGGTTAAATTATCTGAAACCTCCACGTTTTTGCTGTACCAAAAATATTACACTTCAATCATTTGGTTGGAAAAACAAATAATTAGCAGCCATCATTCAATACTTGGCCGATCTTATTACTTTATCTATATATAAATGTGTATTATACATTATATGCCAGTTTCAAGCAATTTTTCTCCCATTGCATTTTGTGCCATACAATATTTGTATCCACAGAACCAATGTACACAATTTCACTTATCTTCACTTTCACTCATGGCCTTATGTTCAAGCTATAGTATCTTTTTGGTCCCTCCATTGGAAATAATAGAGTTTGCTATTGTTCGCAGTTTAATGTATCCACAAGAAGTCTAAGAAGTCCCTCACAGCTATGGGATGCCATACTGTATATATAAACTTAGACAATTGAGACTGTTAATATATTTTCCACCTTTCCTTTTTTTCTTTTTTCTCTTAAACATAAAAACCCTAGTTTTTTTAAAAAATGCCCAATTTATGAAGAAATTTGCAAATTTTGCAGAGATCTTATAAAAAAAACCCTCAACTAAGCAACATTCAATCCTGTATAAGAGCTGACAATTCAAAAGATGCTTCAAGAGGCTATGGGATGATGCTGTGTTTGGTCTGCAAAGCAACTCTGTATTTAAGTAGCTTGAAGATCTCAAACTGTTTTGTTAATTTTGAAAGGGAATCCAATGGGGATTTGATACTTCATTTTGGTAGTTTCTCCCAGATCTTTAGTTTTATAATAGCGTTTGTTTACCATTATGCTTGCATTGCACTGAAAGGCTTGGTTAGATAATTTGATTTAAACTAAGTTCTAGGATACAGCAGAGCAGAGCAGAAATTCCAGTGAAAATGAATCTCCCTTCTGTAGCCTTGTATAGAATATGTGTGTTTATGAACTAATGTAATTCTTCATGGCTGCCAGATTAGCACCATAGTATAGTTAGAAACAGTTGTTCCTTGCTCATCTCATTCACTGTTTTTGTATTTAGGAGTCTTGATTTTATCAACATTATGACCTATGATTTCCATGGAAGTTGGGCATCTACAACAGGACACAACAGCCCTCTCCATAAGGGCCTGCAGAGCTATGATCCAGTTCCTTTCTACAACTGCGTAAGAACAAACAACAACAAAAACTCAGATTATAAAGTCATATGTAAATTATAGTGTTAACTTTTCTACAGGATGCAATGTGAACTAGATTATGTCCAACCATAGGAAGGACACAAAATACATGTATTGAAGATAGTAATGAATCTGGCTTGCATAATATTAATACTGAAAGCAGTCTGGGTAGCTAGGGTTAGGGAAACATTGACATCTCCTCCAAGATGTTTTTGTCACAGTTTCCATCAGCCTCACTTAACATGGTAAGGGATAGGCCTGTGGAAGACCAAAGGTTTCCTATCTTACCTGTGAAAGAAAAAAAATGAGGGACTGCTCTACTCTCTCCCCATCAGGACTTTTCAACAGAAACATCTACCAATCTGCTGTTCCTCATCCACAGGGCCAAAGAATTGTGAGAGACAACATTAAGATCCAATATTTGCCTCCCAATCAGAAAAGGATGCCTGATCCTTCTCTGCTCTCTCTTGCTCCTTGTCCAGGGTGCTTAAAGTTTAACACACTTACACTCATAGAAGAAAGATGCATTATAAAAACTCCTGTTTTTTCCCCCTGTGCTTCAGGAATATGCCATGAAATACTGGAAGGACAATGGAGCCCCTCCTGAGAAACTCTTGATGGGATTTGCAACCTATGGTCGATCTTTCAGATTGTCTGGCTCAGGTACTGGAGTTGGTGCTCCAGCCGCTGGTGGAGGTTCTCCTGGAGCCTACACCAAAGAAGCTGGCACCTTGGCATATTATGAGGTAAACGTTTCCATGGTAATGTATGACCAGTATTTAGTGGGAAAAAAACCTAAAGTCAAAGTCCTAGTGAAAGATAATATGTAGCTGTGGACTGGAGGAGAATACGATTCATATTCCATGAATAGGATAAAAAATTTTCACTCAACCAAATTATAATCTGGGATCAGATTACACAGTTGTCATTCTGAGCACTATGATGTCAGAAGTATTTTTGAACTCAGTGGGATTTCTGAGTAAACATGCTTTAGTTTAGGCTATTCACTTATATCAGAATCTATCGGAATACCCTGGCAATTTTATTCTTTTTTTTTTTTAAATCCTGCATGGTATTTTCCCAAGTGGAAGGTTATTAGTCCCACCAATTAAAATGCAATGTATATTCTGTATTTCCAATCCTTGATGGATTTTAAAAAAATTGAACAGTCATAGAATCATAGAATCAGGGAGTTGGAAGAGACCCCATGGGCCGACCAGTCCAACCCCCTGCCAAGAAGCAGGAAAATTGCATTCAAAGCACCCCCGACAGATGGCCATCCAGCCTCTGTTCAAAAGCCTCCAGAGAAGGAGCCTCCACCACCCTGCAGGGCAGAGAGTTCCACTGCTGAACAACTCTCACGATTAGGAAGCTCTTCCTAATGTTCAGGTGGAATCTCCTTTCCTGTAGTTTGAAGCCATTGTTCTGTGTACTAGTCTCTGGGGCAGTGAGAAAACACAATAGATTTATAAGCTTGAAGACAATTTGGATCCTCCACCCCTCAGTAAATTCTATGTCTAAAGTACAACAATTTCACAGATAGTCTTGTCTGGACATGCCCTGTGTCTAAGGCTGCCGTCCACCAAGAAGTCATTGATTCTAGTGAAGAAACTTGGAATTGAATGTGTCTTGCTCATTCTCCCTTTTCTGTTCTCTTTTACAAAATCTCTATCATTTTGACAGGTGTGCACATTTTTACAAGGAGCTACCAAAGGATGGATTGAAGAACAGAAAGTCCCTTATGCTTTCAAAAATGGAGAATGGGTTGGATATGATGATGAAAAGAGTTTCCAGTTAAAAGTATGTTCTTGTCATTTTCATCATATGGTTTTTGGGTTGGGCTCAGACTTAAGACATACTGAGAGCAGACTCACTGGAATCAATGAGAACTGAGTTACATGTGTCTAAATGTGACTAATTTAATATTCTGAGAGTATCAAGATCACTTAAATTCTAAGTCTTAGAAGAAAGGAATGGGTATATTGCTAAGGGTTGGTGGGAGTTATTAGTCACAGAGGATCTTATTGACATTACTGGGGAGGAGTGCATTGTAAATACATAGAAAAATGTATTACTGAAGCACTGTATAGTTGCTCTATTCCTTTGCATTTTATTCCTCAGTGTAAACTTTACAGTTATTGTGAGAGTGTTGCTTAGTAGAAGAAACAAAACAAACAACTCCATCCCCTAAATAAAAGGCATGCTATATAGGAACCTATACATTAAACCATTGGCAATTTAAAGCTTTTTCTTTTTAAATTCTCCTTGTAGGCCGAATTCCTGAAACGGGAACGTTATGGAGGTGCAATGGTTTGGACTCTTGGCATGGATGATTTCTCAGGCAAAATCTGTGGTCAAGGAGCCTATGTCCTTGTTAAAAAACTAAAGGGTGTCCTTGGAAACTGAGGTATTAACAAATTAATATTGTAGATAAGTCATGTGTAATGCCAAGTCATCAATCCAATATCTAGTAAAAGACTCAACTGCATTGCAGTTGAATCTCCTGCAGTAGTTAGGAACATGGAACAAAATTTTGCAAAATGAGTTCATGTTGACTCTGGCCTGGCCTTCCTTGCTCTCTTGGCTGATTTACCCAATTGGGCTATTACCAGGAGACAGCAGGGATGAAGAGAGCCAAGGATTCAGCTTATTGGAGCCCCCGGTGGTGCAATGGATTAAACCCTTGTGCCAGCAGGACTGCTGACCGAAAGGCCGGTGGTTTGAATCTGGGAAGAGTGGGTTGAGCTCCCATCTGACAGCTCCAGCTTCTCCTGTGGAGACATGAGAGAAGTCTCCCATAGGATGGTAAAACATCAGAGTGTCCCCTGCAATGTCCTTGCAGACAGCCAATTCTCTTACACCAGAAGCATCTTGCAGTTTCTCAAGACACTCTTGACATGGCGGGGGGAGGGAGCTTATTGGAAGATGGAATATAAATGTAAGAAATGGTGCATCCAAGCTGATTGAAAAGTCCCCAGTTGTCTTTGCCTGTACTGGGAGCTGACATAAAATATACTGCAGTACATAAAATGTGAATGGAACTCCAAAATCAAATCATTAAGGATATGAACATAATCAAAGCCCTTTTTCGTTTTTTAATTAGTTTGGATTAAAAGACAAAAAGAGGAAGGAAATGTATTTTAATCTTAGAGATTAGTCTCCCAGGAATAATGGGACAAAGCACAGGTATAAGAAGAATTGGATACGAACTGTGGAGGAGACAAAAGATTTAATCCTATCCTTTTACCTATACTATATGCCCAAAACCATATCGTAATCTTGTTTATAAGTATGCTGGGTGGGGTATTCATGGATGAATGAAATAAATTGTATTTAGATTGCCCCTATTGTTTGATGAAGTGTAATGCAAGGCTAAAGCAGTTGCCATGTTATTTCATTGGAGCAACTAGTAGTCCGTAACAACATAACTCAAAATAAATTAGCTAATCTTTAAGATGTCGGAGGACTCTTTCTTGAGTTGAATGATTGTTTAGTAGTCCTCCACCCCACCCCATTGCTTGCTGTATGTAATCTATTGACATGAAGGCCAAACCATCACATATTTAACCTGTACTCTATCTATGCTTGTTCTCTACTTACAGTTCAAGAGAAATCCCGGCAAGCAATCTGAGGAATGTGGTACATTGTGACCTGATATCAAGCATTTTGCATCTTGGCATTTTGCATGCATTTTCAGCAAGACAAATCACACAAATTCATCTCTGTCACTCCATACATTACCTGTAGCTAGCAAGGAAATGGATAGGAGAGAAGACTACATATGACATTCTCCTGCTTGAGTTAGCTACACGATCTGATTTCATCCTTTCACCTCCTAGCCCGATAATCAATCTTGTGATTCATCTCTATAAAACTTGAAAAGTACATGGCTTTATGTCTATTTCATTCTGAAAATTATAAAGGAATCAATTTGTAAAATACCAGTTTCACTAATAATGGATTTATTTATGTTATTTTAACACAACAACATTGCTAGTTTATTTCTTTTCTATATCGAATACTTTTGACACAAAGAAAAAAATGACAAAACATCAATAACAAAACTTGTTGTGCTGAACAGGAGAAAAATTAGGCCAATCCAAATGTGAAAGTATTTTTTACAGTGAAAGAAGCAGCAGTAGCTCACAGATTGATGTAGTCTAGTTCTAAGCCTCAAGCAATGCAATATGAACATAACAGCACATCTCCTATGCGTTTCTTCCCACAGTAAAGATAGACACAAGGAATAGACTGTATGGATAAGTCTACAAGGTTTCCCATGAAAATTATCTTATGCTGGATGCTTTTTTCAGGTGGGGATTGCAAATCTATGCTCCTAGTACAGTGCATCTGTCTTAGGTCATACATAACAGAAAAAAACCAATGGGTTCCTTATATGAAAGCAAGTCATGGAGAGGCTTGGCCTTGCATGTTCAAATCACATACACTCTATATCCCATTTCCCTTCAGATAGATCTGCTTTCAATTTTAAATGAATTGTGATGTCAGGGTTTGGATAATTATGAAGTATTTGAGCTGTGGTTAAACACAAGTAAAGTTGGATCAAACCATGGTTTCTTGGCTTGTTCCTAATTCATGTTTGGACATCACCAAGAACTTTGCAAGTAAAAACATCTCCACTTCACAGCTGCTAAAGGAGGAAGAGAAAACAAAACATCAGAATCCCTCTCACAATGGGAATCATGTTTTCCGGGGAACTAGATATGAAGCAATCCTGTGCCATTTGCCCAGCCAAGAGGGAAAGCAATTTGTGTTTATGTGTGTATAGAGAGGAATGCATATTTTTCAGCAGTAAAAGAGTTAAGAGGGGAGATGGCTAAGGAGGTGAAGCAGGTGATCCTGGTACCTCACCAGGTTGTTTTGTTCCAGTAACACCTCTGGCATGTATTTTATGGGCACTGTGACCTCAACTTCAAGCTTCAATGTGTTGGCAAGGTATTTTAAAATTGGCACACAAAATAAGAATGAATAAATGGGTACCTGAGCACTGATCAGTGTTTGCCTACCCTGACAGCAAACAGTAGGACTGACTTCTGTATTTTGTGGAAAAGAAACTGAAGGGTTGGCACAGCAACTGCAAATCACCACCATCCTGACTTCTGATGGTATCTTACAAGCTCTATGGTTGTGAATATTTTATATAAAATCAGTGAATACTTTTAACCAGACAATCAAATTAGGAAGGTGTGATACATTCAGAAGAGCTTTATGAAGCAGCCTACTGAATAAAATTAAGAACATTTTTGTAAGCAGCAAAAGGGAAAATGAGTGGTTAAATATACAGGACAGGAAAGACTCAAGTCAAAAGGATCAGTCACTGTAGTATAGGCTCAGGTATGCCACCAGGTTCCGGTGCTTCTTGAATTCTTTGTCTGTAAGCAGCTAAAATAAATACAAACATAAATATTGTCAGTAGTGTTGAAAACCTACTGCCTATTAAGGAAATAAGTAGTTCAGTGCAAGTCTATCTTAACACAAGCATGGTCACAACAATGACCATTTAGATAACTATATCTGAATTTCATACCTCAGCTTTGAAAGTTCTTTTTTCTGGCATTGGTATTAATGCCCAATCTGGAGGCCCAAATCTCCCTGGCCAAGTGACATGCTTGTGTGGCAACCGGTCTGGATCATAGGTTCCAGGTCTATAGAGAGAGAAAGGAAGAGAGGCCTCCAAATAACACAGCCCAACAAAAATGTCTTGGTTTTTAGGCTTGTTCCTGGGATTATTTAGGGCACCGATTAAGAAAAGTGCTTTAGATAGACTGCATCAGCTCTAATTTCTTAGATATGGTTATCATTATTCTTTATGAGTGAGCATATGGCATAAGTTCTGTATCTCAAAAACCAGAGCTGACAGGGAGAAACGGATGCCATTTTTTGGAATCAGCAGATCAAATATACTCAGAAACAGGTCTAACATTTGAGGCAACAAAATGCATGTTGGCCAGTGTAATGTGTCACATTACAGTTGTTTGGGAGCTGTAGTTGTTAGTGTTGGACTAGGATGCAGGAGTCCAAAATTCAAATAATGTATTCACTTGCCCATGGGAATCCAGTGGATGACCTTGGACAAGAAGTATTCCTGATTCCTAAGTGGGAGGCAAACCTCCTCTTAATAAATCAACATAGTCCAAGTTTTGCTGTAAATCGGAGATGACTTGAAGGCACATAATAAGAACAAACAGTACCTTGAGTTCAGGCCCATAGCCAGGATTTTATTTGGGGGGGGGGTGAGTTTGATTTGGGGGGGGGCTCAGGATCTACCCTAGCAAACCTTTTGTATCATTATCCCAATACCCCCATGCATATTGAGCATGGTGATCAGCTCTGTTATGAATAAACATAACAGTTTAAATAATGTACCAGTAAGGCCTTCTTGCAGACCACCCTGAGAATTTCGGGCCTGGTTATGGGCCTGCTTGAGCTACATTTGTTTATCAAGGTTGGAAACAAAGGCCACTTTAGTATTGAACTGTCTACACATTAGACTTCTCCCTCCATCCCACTTCCATCTCAGTCTATTTTATTAGCAGTGTGAAAGCCATAACAGGTTACTTTGGCATATCAAAGATGAGTGTAGCTCCACAGGCCCTAAGCCTTCTTGTTCCCTCAACCTCCCACAGGCCCTAAATTACATCAATGAGGAACTAGTGTTTCTCTTCACTGACTTCAGTGGAAGGAAGGAACACAAACTTCTTCATCTTCTCTCTCTCTTGACCACAGATTACCATCAAGACTTTAAATGTGATTGTTGCCCTATGAACACATCTCCCATTTACTCCATACCTCTGTGTTTCATGCTCAGTAATTCTGAATTGGGTAAAGACCTCTCTCTCTCTTTAGGTTCTAAGTCCTAATGAGCAGCCTTGTAATTCAAGAAATGAAAAATGATACCCAGGGAAACACTCTTTGGGCAGAAGGTAGTCTGAAAATCGTGGTGAGCGTCTGCCAAATGGAGCAAATGCAGGCTGGCGCTTTTGCTCTTTGCTGTGATCCCCTTGGTAGACTGTAGGGTCAGGAACCACATGCTAAACAAATGAGATTAGAAAAGGAAGTGATGAGACAAATCATTCATTGAAATAATTAAACCAAGAAACCTCTAATTCGAAAGATAAACAAGTAAATCCCTGCCTCCTGCTAAACCCTGTCAGATATTGATATTCCTGATTTATGGATAAATCTGCAATGATGTTGACAATTCCCTTAAACCTCTTATATGAGCAGCCTATGTATTGACAAATGATGTCAAAATGGTGTATTACATAGAATACATTCATTTTCATCTTCACAGATGGTTAGAAGATAGTTTTGCTCTCATTTCTAATATGTGAAAATGTGGTACTAGTATCCGACACATTAGAATAACACCCCTCATAATATAACCTGAAAAGCAGTTCTCTAGATCGGGGCTTCTTAAATCTTTTCCACTTGGGATCCTTTTTGGTCTGAGAAATGTTTACATGACTCCAGGTATATAGGTACAGGCAGCCTCCAAGTTACAGACAAGATAAGCTGGGCCCAGGAGAGTCTCATCATCACCCTCCACCAGGCTGCTGCAGCTCCAGTTGATTTGTTTTGTGTTCATTTTGGCACTGAATGTTTGCTACTCTGTTACTTTTGTTGTAAACCTCTCTGAGTCCCTTTGGGGAGATAGGGTGGTATATAATAATAATAATAATAATAATAATAATAATAATAATAATAATAATAGGTTCGGTAGGTTTGTTCTTAAACTGAATTTAATATGGAATTATGTGCAGTAAGTATTGGAATGGCCCAGACTATGACTTTGGATAACATGGTTAACAGTGAAGGTGTTGTTTTAAATGTTTTAATGTATTTTATAATTCTATTTAAATGCTTTGAATTGTATATTGTTTTTTTGAAGGCATCGAATAGTTGCCTAGTGTAAACCACCTTGAGTCCCCCTCGGGGTGGAGACAGGCGGGTAGAAATGTCATAAATAAAAAAATAAATAATTTATCTGTAAAACAGAACAGATACATTTTTAAATGTAACTCTAGCCAAATATTACATATGTATACAATAGAGTCTCGCTTATCCAACCTTTGCTCACCGACTTTCTGTATTATCCAATGCAGTCTGCCGCCTGGAATAATGTCCAGGGTGGGAGAAAGAAAGAACCCTTGTCTGTTTTGGTGCTAAATTCGTAAATAAAGTAATTACTACATAACGTTACTGTGTATTGAACTGCTTTATCTGTCGATTTGTTGTAAAATATGATGTTTGGGTGCTTAATTTGTAAAATCATAATGTATTTTGATGTTTAACAGGCTTTCCCTTAATCCCTTCAACATTTTCGCTTATACAACATTCTGCCAGCCTGTTTATGTTGGATAAGCAAAACTCTACTTGTATGTGTTTATGTGTGTGTACATTTTGGGAGCATAGGGAAGGATTAACACCCCTGTGACATTTGTTTTGCTGTCTGTGTCCCTGTTCAGAAGATTCTGCTTCACTTTCTGTCCCTGTGATAATTGTTGTGGAAACAAAGATTAGTGGTAAAGCTTCAATGGAGACACCTTTTCCCCATGACAACTCTTCCAGGATTGAATTTCGCTCCTGAAGGGATTTCTGCCACGTCCTGTTGTCTCATCCTCGTTCCTAACTTTGAGTTATATGTCAGTTGAATGTATGTAACTTGGGGACTGCCTGTATAGGTATAAAAGTCAAATATTTACTGATAATTAAATCAGCTTTGCAAGACTTGCTAAACAGGCTGGTTTTCCTTTTTATGGAGTACAGCTGACACAGCTGAATAAAACCCCATATTTTCTGCTTTGAACTGGAATATATGGCAGTGTGCACTCAGATAACTCAGTTCAAAGCAAATGTTGTGAGATTTTCTGCCTTAATATTCTGGGTTATGTGGTTGTGCGGAAGGGGCCCTGAGGAATCTTCTTCAGAGTCTATTGTAAATACTGCACAACTATACTGTAAATATTGAAAACGGCCACTAGGTGATGTCCAGAATTTTTGGGACCCCAACATGAAGCAAAGGGGACCCAATTTGGGGTCAGAACCCACAGTTCAAAAGGAAGTGCTCTAGATCAGCTGCAGCTACTGCTCAGAAATTGTGGTAACAGCATTCCAACACTATTTGAAAGAGCATATATTCCTCAACCCTGTAAGAATGTTCAGTAGCCTTATGTTCCTTAGCCAGTGAAGAAATTAGGAAACATATTAGGACAATGCTAATTAAAAAATCATTTGAACTAAAAGCAGAAAATATCATGAAGATATTAAACTGCCTTATATTGAGATAGGCAAGATATTTCTTCCCTTTCTAAGGGTAGATTTCCTTTCACTTTCTGTTGTCTCACCCTCTTTATCAACGCTGAGTCGTATGTAACTTGGGGACTGCCCGTATATAAATACAATAGGTATTTATTGTAATTCTCAATCTTTGATCCCATGCTTTCTCCTGAATGAAAATGCTCCATTGCTCTACTGTATAAAGACCCCCTTGCATGCAGTTGTCACAGTGGTATTGTCTTGGCAACCAATGACAAATATTTTTGCCTTTAATGCATTGTGTACAGTAGATAATTTATATTATAGTACATTTTTACGATGTATGATTTAAGGATGTGTAGAAGAGAGGAAAACCACTTTTACCTTGCCAATGATTCTAAAACGTGGATTTGTTCTTGCTCCCATGCTGTAACCCTTAATGCTCACCGGTCTGTGAGCCAGATTATATATAAGGGTGTTTCTCTGCATTAAAAACACCACATAGATTATTTCAATCTACAGTAACAGATTACAAGTCTACAGATTAAATAATACCCCTGCAACTAACCAATAACAAATCTATTGTCCACAAAATTTTTCTTTTTTCCTTCCTCTTTCCCCCCACTCTCCTAGTAAATATTTAATGAAAATAATTTGAAAATAAAAATACCCCTACAGCAGCGTTTCTCAGCCTGGGGATCAGAACTCCTGGGGGGGGGGATCATGAGGGGGTTTCAGAAAACATATTTCTGATGACCTTAGGAACCCCTTTGGTAGAGAAGGATGAAGAACTCTCCGCCTGTCCTTGTCCTCCTTTTTGGAAACATATAGCAAATTCTCCCACCAAAAGCCCCCCTCCTGCTGTGTGGGTGAGGGAGAGCGTGTGAAGCTGGAGGGAGTCTTGCACCACTGAGTCCCTTCAAGACATAGGGGTTCGGTGTGGGAAGTCTGGCCCAATTCTATTGTTGGTGGGGTTCAGAATGCTCTTTGATTGTAGGTGAACTATAAATCCCAGCCACTACCACTCCCAAATATCAAGCTCTATTTTCTCCAAACTGCACCAGTGTTCACATTTGGGCATATTGAGTATTTGTGCCAAGTATGGTCCAGATCTATCATTGCTTGAGTCCACAGTGCTCTCTGGATATTGGTGAACTACAAATCCAAAACTCAAGGTCAGTGTCAACCAAACCCTTCCAGTATTTTTTTGTTCGTCATGGGAGTTCAATTCCATTGTTCGTAGAGTGCAGAATGCTCTTTGATTGTAGGTGAACTATAAATCCCAGCAACTACAACTCCCAAATGACAAAATCAATTTTTTTGAGTGAAGGACATAGATTGGGTTATTAGGTATCAAATTTGGTGTCAATTCACCCAGTGGTTTTTGAGTTCTGTTAATCCCACAAACGAAAATTACATTTTTATGTATATAGATGAAAGCTCAGCAGAAGGAAAACAAGAGCTAAATCAAAGAAAGCATAACTTACCTCTGCATTGTTATAAGCCCCAGGTCCGCGATTGGGATGACCTTTAATGGGGACATACTCATTGCCCAAGCGGTCTGGAGCATAAGAAAAAGGGAAAACTTCCCGCTCCTGGCATGATCCGAACGAGTTCCGTTTTTGCGCCTCTGCAAAACCCAAAAGACACGAATGAGTGTCAAAACAAGGAGGGAAGAAATACAGCCTGGAGATTGATCTTTCACCCCTTTAAACATCTTTTAATCTACTGGATGTTCCTTCCCATGCAGATTAGAGAAACCAGAATATGCTTACCCATGCATTGGTCGATCTCACGTACAAGTCGAGAGCCAAAATGATATTTTTTGGAATGATCCAGGGATAACCCAAGGGACATAGCACCAATGCTATCTCAGGGCCCTTCCATATTGCCCTATATCCTGGAATCCCAGATTATTTGGCAGTGGAGACTCCTATAATCCAGTTTAAAGCAGATAATCTGGGATCGGATCTTGGGATATATAGGGCAGTGTAGAAGGGGCCTCAGGCAAACTTTGGCCCTCCAGGCGTTTTGGACTTCAACTCCCACCATTCCTAACAGCCTCAGGCCCTTTCCTTTTCACCCCCAGCCGCTTAAGCGGCTGGGGGTGAAAAGGAAGGGGCCTGAGGCTGTTAGGAATGGTGGGAGTTGAAGTCCAAAACGCCTGGAGGGCCAAAGTTTGCCCATACCTGCTCTAGAGCCTCTACATACTGAAAATCTCAGGATTTCGTAGCATGGGTAGTGCAATTACCTACTAAATTCTGGAACCAGTTGCAAGCCCATGTTGTGAGTATGCAAAACACAGATGTGCATTCAGGGCTTGCTTTCCTGTGCTTCTGTTGTCGGGCCAGTTTGGCACCACTGGAATCCTGAGAGTTGTAGTTTTGCAAGGTCTTTCGCCTTCTCTGCCCAAGAGGGCTGATTGAGTGCCCCACCAAACTACACAATCCCAAGAACCCATGTCACTTAAGCTGGAATTGGTATGAATGGCCCTCTAGCCTCTCTTTGAGCCAAGCTAGGGGAGACCTAGGCGAAGCCCCGCCCCCTTTGGCGTTTTGACCAATCAACGCCCGCCGCTACCTGTGAGCTCCCAGGCGAGCTGCCGCTGCCCCGAAATCATGCCTAGGACTCCTTTGGCGTGCGCGGCGCCCTTCTGTTGCCATGGAAACTGAGGGAGGCTGTACTTCCTGATCTCGTGGCCCGGAAGGAGGGAGCGGCGCGGGGCTGAGGAAGCTGGCGTTGGCATGGCAACAAGAGGGTGGGGAGGAAGGGAGGGAGAAACAAACAAACACACTTCAAAGTTTGAAAAAAGAAAGAAAAAAGATAGACACCCTTAATGCAATGGTGTCATACTACCTTAAGTTTGTCCCCCTCTGCTTTTAATTACTATATTTCAATATTTATATCAAGACATTACAAAGTTATTTATTTATTCTAGATTTCTGGATTGTTGTAGGTTTTTTTCAGGCTATATGTCCATGTTCTAGAGGCATTCTCTCCTGACGTTTCGCCTGCATCTATGGCAAGCATCCTCAGAGGTAGTGAGGTCTGTTGGAACTAGGAAAATGGGTTTATATATCTGTGGAATGACCAGAGGAGAAAATGTGGAGGCCGTGACAGACTTTGTATTTCTAGGTGCAAAGATTACTGCAGATGCAGACTGTGGCCAGGAAATCAGAAGACGCTTACTTCTTGGAGGAGAGCAATGTCCAGTCTCGATAAAATAGTAAAGAGTAGAGACATCAGACTGGCAACAAAGATCCGGCTAGTCAAAGCCATGGTATTCCCTGTAGTAACCTATGGATGTGAAAGCTGGACCTTAGGGAAGGCTGAGCGAAGGAAGATCGATGCTTTTGAGCTGTGGTGTTGGAGGAAAGTTCTGAGAGTGCCTTGGACTGCGAGAAGATCCAACCAGTCCATCCTCCAGGAAATAAAGCCCGACTGCTTCCTGGAGGGAAGGATACTAGAGACAAAGTTGAAGTACTTTGGCCACATCATGAGGAGACAGCAAAGCTAGAGAAGACAATTATGCTGGGGAAAGTGGAAGGCAAAAGGAAGAGGGGCCGACCAAGGGCAAGATGGATGGATGGCATCCTTGAAGTGACTGGACTGACCTTGAAGGAGCTGGGGGTGGTGATGGCCGACAGGGAGCTCTGGCGTGGGCTGGTCCATGAGGTCACGAAGAGTCGGAGACGACTGAACGAATGAACAACAACACACATCTGTGGAAAGACCAGGGTGGGACAAAGAACTCTTGTCTGCTGGAACTAGGTGTGAATGTTTCAACTGACCACCTTGATTAGCATTGAATGGCCTGACAGTGCCTGGAGCAATCTTTTGTTGAGAGGTAATTAGATGTCTCTGATTGTTTTCCCTCTGCTGTTTTGCTGTTTTAATTTTAGAGTTTTTTAATACTGGTAGCCAGATTTTGTTCATTTTCATGGTTTCCTCCTTTCTGTTGAAATTGTACACATGCTTGTGGATTTCAATGGCTTTTCTGTGTAGTCTGACATGGTGGTTGTGAGAGTGGTCCAGCATTTCTGTGTTCTCAAATAATATGCTGTGTCCAGGTTGGTTCATCAGGTGCTCTGCTATGACTCACTTCTCTGGTTGAAGTAGTCTGCAGTGCCTTTCATGTTCCTTGATTTGTGTTTGGGCAATGCTGCGTTTGGTGGTATTCTAGATTTCGTTTCACCAGGAGCAGACCACTTGGAGTGCCTCTGCTGTGGCTATAAGAAGGTCTTCCACTGTGCATGTGGCAGGGCTCAGGTTGCGTTGTAGTAGGTGGCCTGTGGTTTGCTCTCCTCTGCACTCGCATGTTGTGGACTCCACTTTGTAGTCCCATTTCTGAAGATTGGCTTTGCACCTCGTGGTGCCAGAGCGCAGTCTGTTCAGCATCTTCCAAGTCATCCAGTCTTCTGTGTGCCCAGGAGGGAGTTTCGCATCTGGTCTCAGCCACTGATTGAGGTTCTGGGTTTTAGCCTGCCACTTTTGGTCTCTCGCTTGCTGAGGTGCTCCTGCAAGTGTTGGGGCAATGAAACCAAAATATTTCCCAAAAAGCAGGAGCTCCCTTTCCAATGGCTAGAGTGAGGAAGGACACTACAAAAGTTGAATCTTCAAATTGCAATAAAACCTATTTATTGCAAGGCCATAGCAATAACAACAAACAGCATGTTTGTTGTTGTTTATTCGTTCAGTCGCTTCCGACTCATCGTGACTTCATGGACCAGCCCATGCTAGAGCTCCCTGTCAGCTGTGGCCGCCCCCAGCTCCTTCAAGGTCAAGCCAGTCACTTCAAGGATACCATCCATCCATCTTGCAGTTTAAAAGATTTAACTTTCGTGGTGTTCTTCCTTGTCCTCCCCCGGGATGGGGGCTTTCTGCTTTTCGGATTTGGATTTATGAAATATTTTGATTCCTGGAGCCTCAACATCATTGCATCAGTGGTTCCCATCCTGTGGTCCATGGACCACCAGTGGTCCGCAAGAACTAGAATATGGTCCACAGACTCACAGTTACTACTATGGATAATAACACAGCCCAACGCCCAATTTTTTTCTTAGTGTCTTCATTAGGCCTGTTCCTGGGGTTATTTGGAGGTGCTGATTAAGAAAATTGCATTGGATAGACCACATCAGCTCTAGTTTATTAAATATGGTTTTCTGTGAGCGAGCAGATGGCGACTACTGGATGGCATATGTTCTGTATCAGAAACTAGAGCTTTTGTGGCTTATCCAATGCAATTTTCTGAATCGGCACTCCAAATAACCAAACAGAATTTAAAGTTGACCAAAAACTGATTCATAACCCTTTTGGTACTAATGTTGGAGAATGGTCCCTGGTCAAAGTGGTCCCTGGTCAAGTAGTCCCTGGTCAAAAAAAGGTTGGGAACCACTGTATTACATGCTCCTACTTTTCAACGGTTGTCAGGTGGTGCAATACTGGCTAAGCACTATAATTTCTCCAGTGGTACTGGGCATATACACCCTGTGATAATGCAGCAGGTCTCATTAAGAGCAATCCACTGCATTAAGAGACCAATCCACTGCTGCATTAAGAGACCAATCCACTGTTTTAATGTGGTGAGATGTATTCCACATTGGGCATGCATTTTCAGCAGAAAAGTAGCAAAGCTCAAGGGCAGATGTCTTCACAGGCTGTGCCAGTCAGCTTTCATATGATATTTCTAGAACCCAATTTTTGCTTGATAGTCAAACAATGCTTCTTGTAAGGCAGAGCACGGTCCAGCATAATTCCCAGGTATTTTGGTGTGATGCAGTGCTCCAGTGGGATTCCTTCCCAGGTAACCCTCAGAGCTTGAGATGCTTTTCTGTGATTACAGAGTTAATGGCATGGTATAATATGAGGTATGATATTATTTAGGCCTATTTTTAATATTGACTGGCCCCTTCTACACTGCCAAATAATCCGGATTATTTGCTCTATACTGGATTATATGGTAGTGTAGATTCAGATAATCCAGTTCAAAGCAGATAATCTGGATTTTATATGGCAGTGTAGAAGGGGCCTCAGCATCTACTACTTGAGGCAATTGTTTCACACTATTTAAATTCTAACTACTCTGGTTGGTGGGTCAGACTGAGACCTGTGAATTATTAAAAGGTATGAAGAATGAGGATCTTCAGACTGAAGAAATCCCAAAGCCATGCATGTTTGCTCGCAAATAAAAACAAATGAGTTAAATGGGGCATACACCTGGATAGGCAACAAGCTAACAGGATTCATTTGCTTACCTGAGCTTCTGAAACGTATCATGACACAAAATGTGTTGCAGCTTAACACCAATCAATGGCACTTCAGTTTATTCCCTTCCTCCCTCAAATAGTGATTTTCCAGGAGAAGATGATCTTCAGCTTCCTGACATCATAGAGGTTACATAACTGTATTCCTGGGGATTGCTTTGGACTGATTGTGACACACAATTGACATCATAATTATAAAACAGCATAACCTGATCAGTTTTCAAAACGTATTCATCCAATTTATGTCATGCTTATAGTGGGTTATCCAAATACCTTGAAATTTGCTTTAGATAGGTATTTTGCGATAAAATCTGATAAAGAAGCTTGAGCGTAGGGATACCATATACATAAAAATGCAAAAGGGACCACAGGCTGAATTAACCCTGCCCTATGTTTCAGGATCATATCTTAGATTATCTGTTTATCCCAGATTATCTGGTAATGTAGACTTAGGCCCCGTCTACTCTGCCATATAATCTAGGTTATCAAATCAGATAATCTACATAATCTGGATTTTATATGGCAGTGTAGAAGGAGCCTCATATAATCCAGTTCAAAGCAAATAATCTGGGTTTGGATTCTGGCAGGCCTGTAGCCAGAATTTCGATTTGGGGGGGGGGGTGAGTTTGTTTCGGGGGGGGGCTGAGTCTGAGTGAAAGAGGGTCTACCCTAGCAAACCTTTTGTATCGTTACCCCAATACCCCCATGCATATGGGATATATTGAGTATAGTGATCAGATCATGATATGAATAAACAAAGTCAACATCGACACCGAAATACAACACCACCTGAGTTCTGCAAGCGCAGCATTTTTCAAATGAAGCAGAGAGTGTTTGAGGGACATCTGTAGGGATACCAAGGTGCTTGTTTATAGAGCTATTGTCTTCTCAACCCTGCTATATGCCTGTGAGACGTGAACTGTCTACAGACGTCACATGCAACTCCTGGAACGATTCCATCAGCGCTGCCTCCGGAAAATCCTGCAAATCTCTTGGGAAGACAAGCGGACAAACGTCAGCGTGCTGGAAGAAGCAAAGACCACCAGCATCAGGCATGTAGCCGGGGGGGGGGGGGGGGGGGGGGGCTTGAGGGGCTTCAGCCCCCCCCCTGAAATTCTCATGGTGGTTCGAAAAGGCCTTACTGGTGCATTATTTAAACTGTTATGTTTATTAATATCATGATCTGATCACCATACTCAATATATCCCATATGCATGGGGGTATTGGGGTAATGATACAAAAGGTTTGCTAGGTAGACCCTCTTTCACTCAGACTCAGCCCCCCCGAAACTCAGCCCCCCCCGAACCCCCCCCCTGAAAATACTCACCCCCCCCCCCCGAATCGAAAGCAAAGACTACCAGCATTGAAGCAATGGTCCTCCGCCATCAACTCCGCTGGACCAGCCACGTTGTCTGGATGCCCGACCACCATCTCCCAAAGCAGTTGCTCTACTCCGAACTTAAGAACGGAAAAAGGAATGTTG